TACAAGCAATACATTTTATCTTTGAAAGATAACTTTATCTTGGCCTGATCGGTTGCCTGATGTTAATATGGAGGTTATCAATTCAATTAAAAGTCTGCCACACTACAGTATTACTTCATTGACCATAACTAGGCACCATCCAATAGTTCAAGACAGGAAACCTGTTTTATCATGTTTCTGCAGCACTGGGCTCAGTGGTATTCAAATGCTCAGTAAAAAGTGATGTTTGCATTTTGGTATTTGAGAAGAGGTGCCAGTGCAGGCTTGAGCTGACTCATGGCACCTTCACGTGGCATCCCGTGGAACTACAGTCAGAAACATCTTGGACTGCTGTCCCAAAGAGTTGTGGACTACATTTATTTCACCATTAAATTCTCTGGAAGAATGTACAGTAGCTGCTTACATGACACAAGCCAATGAGCTGGTCTTTGTGGGTGGATAACCATTCCTGTGCTACAGTACAGCCAATACCTCAGATATTAATAAATTATAGGAAGAAGTGGTTCTAGGAGTCCATTCTAAGGAGAATACAGATACCAGAAACATATGCTGCTGCTTCCAGGTAGCAATATGATAGTATGTTTGACATAGAGTATTTAAATATTAATTTGGTACATTCTGGAGTTTTGCTACTTAGCTTGAGAAGCATAAGGATAGCAAGTCTCCATGAGATGAGGGGGAAGAATAATTTAAGCTATCACCTAAGTACTTTATTAAAATGAAATATAATTAAATGTTAATTAATACCATACTTGCCTTCTGTTCCTCATATCTGGTTCCCACCTCCATTCTAAATGACTGCCTTTCTTACCTGGTTTAAGCTTCAGAGGCATCCCAATTTCTTATGGTATATAAATGCTTTGTTAAAACATCGAGATGTAAAAGGAATGAAAGTAAAGTAATATGGGGTGGATGGTTATCGGTGACTATCATATAATACATTTGACTTTTCTTATGTTTACCTTCAACTTTTGCCAAATAAAATTCTTTATTCAGATGGTGACTTGATGTGTCACTTCTTCCCCATTTCCTTTTGCCCCTATTTCCCATATTCCGCTTATATTTAACTTTCTGTCAGAATTCTTTTCTTAGGATGAAAATCCTCTGAGTGAGTCAGGATCGTGTGTCTCTAATTTGAGTAGAAAAATGGTCTGTTATAGATAAAATAATGAGGGTGCATAAGATCAAACCTTTCTGCTTAAACATGTCATAAATTGTATTTAGGTCTAAGGATGTAAATTGAAGAAAGATTTTGTGGATCAGAGTTCATGGATTTCAGTACAGAGCCTTGTATTATCTTTCAGAGATCTCTTTGATTTGGTAGTTTGTAAAGCACTTGTTTCACTTAGTCCTATTAAAAAAAATATTCAAACTTAATCCAATTTAGAGGTATTAAGTAGAGAAACGTCTTGTTACATGCAAAATTTAAACTTTGTCTCATATCAACCACAGTGTTTTATCAGCAAAGCCAATGGCTGGTTTGTACTGCTTACATGGTGGTGTGTAAATAACTTGGGAATTGCCAGTGGTTTTGTGTATGGGTAGTAATGCTGGTGCAGCAGTCACCAAAAGTGCCTTTGCTTTATGACTGTGTTGGGATTCTGAGAAATACCTTGTTTCTGCAGCATAGGCAAGTGGTGGTAGTACCAGTCTTAAACACAGATACTTCTCCCCCCACACCATCATGTTAAGAGAAGCAAAGATTGTGACGTCTTTAACTTGGTGGCTGAGAGAAGCTGAACAGCTTCATTTTGTAGAAATACAATTACTTCATGGATAAACTCTGATGTATTTTATCTGTATGCCCACCAAAATAATAGTTTATCTGGTGTAGATAAATTTGTACATTAATTTTCATGTGCTTTTCCTACACTTCTGTTGGAGATTAATCATGTGGAGAAGTAGAAGTGGGTATATGACTTCATGTACTAGCAAATGAATAGTAATAAAACCTTGTCCTAAAGCATGGCTGTAGTTCTTCAGTGCTTTAGATAAGCTATGTATTTAGTTATGTCTTTCAGCTACTTTGCTCACATTGGTTTATAAAAAAGTATTCTGTATTATAGTAACTTACATGTTCCATATTTTTTCACAGTACTTTCAAAAGCATTTTCCCAAAATAATCTTGAAAATCCTAAGTTCTGCTCTTCCATCCCATATTTAAGTGAAAGAGTACTCTAAAGTTAATGGAGTAAGATAGGGTGGGGGGGTTTGATTTCAAGGTGTTAGCTTAGCAGTATGGGAAGAGATGTTAGTAAGCCTTCTGTGTGGCTGTGCTAGGAGCTACATTCACTCTGGTATTGTTAGAGCTCTGGATTTAACTTTTGTCATAACTCATACTTTCCTTTTCATTAATCTCTATGAAAAACTGTATGGAGGGTTTTGGTTTAAAAATAGCTATAACTGTTGACCATATCTGTCAACTTATCTAACACAAGATGAGGAATTTTGAAGTTACACCCTGCTTTAGTGCCACTGCAGTTTAACTTCTGTGCAACCTGTAGATAAGGTTCTAGTAGTTGGACAGCTTAGTCTTTGACCCAGCTAATTAGCTTCTGTAATTACATCATAGTATTTTGTACTGAAGGGCTGAACTGAATCTTAACCAGCACTTACGTTGTTAGTTGATGTTGTAAAGTAGATGATACTGAAATGACATTGGCATGGCAGACAGGCTGCTTGTCCTAGACAGTCATCAGGCTAATATAATTGTCTCTTTTTTGCACTGGTCTTGCCTTTCTTGTTTGAGAGAATGTGAGGAGGAAAATATTAATGAAGTTGTGAGCACAAAAAAGATATAAGTACTCATAATTCATCGTTGTGTCTGCTTGGAATAGCAGAGTGGCTGAAGCCAGAAGGCACCTCTGAAGATCATGTAATGCAACCCCTGGGCTCAAAGCAAGGTCAACAAGAGCAGGTTGTTCAGATCCTTGTACAATTTGGTTGTGACTCCACAGCCTCTCCATGCAATTACTTTCTAATGTTTGACTGCCTACAAAGTGGAACTTTTCTTCTTATATTTAGCTGGAACATACTTAATTTTCCTAAAAAATAAACCCTCTGCTGTGGGGAAGAAAGCTGGAAAGGTACTGCCACCTATTCCATCACCTGATTTCAATAAGTTTTTGCTCTTTCAAAGACCAGAAGTCTGGAACATAGTTACCTTTGTCCTTTGCCATCCCCCAAATAATACCCATTCAGATGCTGATGGTTTGTTTTGTTTGTCAGTATGCAGGAAGCATCCTGTCTCTTTATTGAAAGTACTTAAGGCAGATCAGATTAAAGCAGTTTAAGTTACAGTCCATTCTCACTGTAATTCATAACATGGGCATCAAAAATCTTCATAATACAGAAAAGGAAAATTATTGGACCAAGTTTGCACATTTCATTTTGAGCAATTTTGCACACTGGATGGAGAAGGTAGAAAGCTCTAGAACAGGTCACTATAGGTTGCTTGCATAAAGGCTGCTATTACTTCTAAAGGTGCCTATATGAAGGCTTAGCTAGGAAAAACACTGAATCCGTACCAGGAACTCCTGTTGTGTTATCATTTTCCTGTACAGGCTATTGCTACTAGCTCTTGTCTTAAGGCCAGTGATTCTTGCTGCAGAGGTAATATGAATGTTTACAAGTCTCAAAGAGAGAAACAAGAACAATGAGAAGTTGATATTCAGAACATGAAATAAATAATAAATTGGAAGAACAGCCTAGAGACAAGAGGATTGGGGGGAAAGGGAAACATAATTAGATGTAAAGTGTGACTGTAATATGTAATCTCTGGCATAGTGAAGGATGGGATTAAAAGAAGCTTAAATTTCAGACAGATTGCGATGACATTATTAAATAAATTTTACTACCTATACGAAATTATATTTAGCTTATTCTTCATAGTATGCAGTGATATGTTCTCATCTTAAGCAGTTATAGAACCTATGTCTAGGACGATATCAGCATAGCTTAAATGCAGGTCATGTCTAGAAGTTCTTTACTCTCTAGTTTTGGCCGAAACCTGACTGGATATCATGGGATGAAGGAAAAAAATTCTGTAGTTAGTATGTGTTTATAATGGGAAAGGTAGTTACTGGACTATCTTAAACTAAAGCTACAAATGAGTTCAAATTAACTGTTACTATTGTGTTCTTAAATGAATCAATAAAGGGTTTATCTGTTGTACCATGTATATTGTCTACTCAGTATCCTGCGAAAGTTACTGATTTGTAGATTTAACTATCAACAACATGTGTCAAAATTTGCTCAGCTCTTCTGTATAAATAACACTGGTTTTTTGTTTTTTCCCCCAGTTTCTATGGAGATTTTGGGCCTCTAAATTTGGCAATGTTATACAGATACTGCTGTAAGCTAAATAAGAAGTTAAAGGTAAGCTTTGTTTAAAAGCAATGTTCCGGTATTTTTGTGTTTTGAAATTCAAATAAAATTATCCACTTCAGAAGTGGTTGTTAGGTGCTCATAGTCTAGATGACTACTGCTAACTTTAAGGATATTCTTTGTTCTGGGTTCTTTTCCCTCTGAAGAGTGAAGAAAATTAATATGCCCTCATTGTTGCTAAGCATGCGAGGCACTAATGGCTGTGTTCACCTTTAGTCATAACCTTACAGTTTCAAGACTGTAGTAACAAAACCCACTAGTTATGTCATGGGTTTGCAGCTCATGAAGTGGGTATGCTGGTCTGAATAACTGAAAAAACAGATGTTCAAAAGACAACCAAACAAAAAAAACTGAGCAAGAACAAAACCTGGGTCCTGAAGTCACACTATTTCAAGTCAGTCTCACCCAGTGGAAAAGTTAGAACTTCTAAATCTTATTCAATTTGATCAAATATTGCTTCTACTAAGTGTTATGAAATGTGTTTTTACACATATGAAAATGGCTCATTTTTCTGTCTTGTGGAAGTGTCACTCACTATCAATTAAGTTGTAGACATTTTCTTAGTTTCTTTCTTCCATATAATGATTGTTAATTCAGGGTAATTTTGAGTTGCACTTCACTAGTGAGAAAATTTTGGTGTCATCTTTGGATACCACAGCAGCTTTTTTTCTTGTGACTGCAAAGTGTTAGTCCTTTTTTTATCAAGTTGTCTAGAATCTGTAAATGCAGTGGTTAGTTCTGAAGATCACTGTGACTGAATCTTGTTCTAACAGCACTGTCCTATCATAGGACCACAAGCCCAGTAGGGGTTGATGCTGGCCAGAAACTGAACACCTGGCAGAGGCTCACTCACTCCTACCCCAAACTCAGTGTAGGATAAAGGAGAGAACCAGAAGAGCAAAACCAAGAAGAATTTGTGAGTTGAGAAAAAGATGGTTTAAATGGGGTAGTAATGAGTGGGGAGAGATGGGGGGCAGGGAACAAAACAAGTGGTGCAAAGGCAATCACTCACTACCTCACACCAGCAGACCAATGCCTGGCCAGTCTCTGTGCAAGTGCTAATTTGCAAGACTGCTCCTTATTTTTATTGCTGAGTGTGATGTCAGATGGAGTAGGATATCCCTCTGGTCCGTTTGGCTTAGCTGTCCTGGCTGTGTGCCCTCCCAGCAGCTTGTCCATCCCAGTGTACTTGCTGTAGGGGCAGAGTCAGAAACAGAAGGCTTTGATGCTGTGCAAGCACAGCTTGGCAGTAGCTGAAACATGGATGTGTTATCAACACAGTTCTGGCCACAAATGCAAACCACAGCATCCTGCAGGCTGCAGTGGAGAAAACCTGACTCCATCCCAGTCAGCCCTAGTACACTGAATGTATAGTTGTAGATTTAATATCTCCAAATACCTGTGAAGAAGTGATTTGCAGCATGTATAGAAAATTTATCAGCTGCAAGAAACGAGTTTCTCTGCAAGTAAATTTCTCTTGAGGTCTGCAAGAAACAGGAACTGATCTATTATTAAACAAAAAAAGTGATCTTACAGTGAAAACAATGTGTTCTGGAACCCTCTCATACACCCTATGAATTAGTTATCACTTAAAACCTGCTGCACTTTGTTTGTAACCTCTGCTTATAATTCAAAAGGTTATATTTGAGAATAGTCCTCTGGAATATACCTCAGCAGATACTGTTGTGTTACATTGCTGCATTTGGTCTAGTAATGATATGTGAAACTGCTAAATTTTGCAAAAATATCTTTAGGGCTTCCTACTGTGTGTCTTAGTTTTGTTATAGAAAAAAAGATTATTTACAACTATGTTACCTTAAGCTGTAGCTATTCTGTAGCTACCTTTGTGTTGAAAAAGTCCTTGTTGAAACATTTCTGTTGGTCTAAGTTGTGCTGCATCTACAAGAACTAAACCCTTAATCCATTCAGGAGCAGCTCTGGAGCTGTAAAACTCACCTGCCAGAACTGTCTTGAAAGACACTTACTGCACCTAGCCAAAGGAATAGACTTAAGCTTATTAAATACGGTCAGAAAATCAGTATTTTTTTAGAATAAATCATACAGCTTAGTATTGATATTGAAAGTGTACTGAGTTGACAATTTGCACGTTAATGTTAACAGAGGCTTTGCATTAGACTTCATCAAACTGCAAAACTTGATTTTCTGTTAGTAGTGTGTAACTAAAAACAGTGGTTTGCTTTGTAGGCTCCTGGAAAGTTAAATTGTGCTGACATGTTCCACTGGTTGTTATATTATAAGCCATTAATTAATGTCAGTTTTCAGTTTTGTGTTAAAGCTTTAGTCAGGATTCAAAAAGTAATTCATATAACAAGAATGAAATCGTTACATTTTGAAAATTACACAGTAAAACTCAGAAAATTGATCCGTTGTTTTCATTTTAACATTCTGGAAACCAGGTCTTAGCTACTTCAGGTACAAAAGAGTGTCAAAGTTGGAATGACTTGATATGCCCATATGATTAAAAAAATCCATTCTGTAAAATAAAACAAAAAATAAGGTCTTATTACATAGAACCTACTTCTGGCTAGTTCGCTTTGCAATTTAAAGTAGTGTTTCAGGTGAACTGTAAACTGCTGCAAAGAACTTTGCTTTAAAATAAGTAGTAGTCAATAAGTATAATTGAAGTTCTGTCACTGTTGCATAACTACTGTAATCTTATCCCACCTACACATCATGGGTGGAATTGCAGTTAGAGAACACTAAAATTAAAAAATTGAGGAGGGGGAAGAAGAGAAGAATCTTAAAATACTGGGATTAATTTTGTCAAGTTTTAATAATCATTGAATGCTTCACTAATTAAATAACTACTTGTGCTTTGTGTGTTTGCATATACACTGAGAGGGATGTTGCTGTTGGTCTCAAAATACAGCCTCTTCCAATCAACAGCACCCAGCTGTCTCAGGATTACAGTCCTTTTGAGATACACTCAGTTGCATTAACTCTCACTCCTTCTACATCTGGAAGTTGTGGCTAATAAGACCAGACTGGAATGTACAGTTAGAACTGCTGTTAAAGGTGCTGTTCCTGGGGGAGGTGGGAGCAAGAAGCTTGCTGTGCTGCCTGCATCAGTTTTCTCCTGAGATTTTTTGCAAGATTTGATTCTATGGTTAAAGCTGTTGTAAAATTTTCACCAAGGTTTAAGGTGGGAGCTTACACTTAGAGATTTCTGGAAGTGAAATACACTTAGCACTGCTTAAACAAATAAAACACAATTCTAAGCAGTTACCTTATCTCCCACCCTCAAGTGTAAGCAGTGCCAAGGGTTAAAACCCTGAAGTTGGGTGACAGCAACACTGGTATTAAAGCATTTTATAGAATGTGCAACTTTTAAAAAAAGAAATGTGCTTCAAATATTTAGAAACAGAATCCAGTTTGTGTGTTCGTGACTTCCTCAGAACTGTAGTAGTACAATAAAATTGGTCAGGAAAAACATGCATAACAGTGTTGCAGAATATAATGGAAGTGTAGCAATTTATGGAGCTAAAATATTGTTAATGCAGTAAATTGTTCAACTTGCCATTTTTAAGTGACAATTTTGTCTCTTACTTTAAATGCAGTTTGTCAGTATTGTTCTTTTCTGGTGCCTGTTGGTTTTGTTTTCAATGGGAGTTTTGTCCACAGGATTCTGACAGAGGCTTCTTTTCTTCCTAAAGAAAGAAGAATTGCGAGTGTTACTAGTTTTGTCTTTGCATAGCCTTTTTTCAGGCTTTTCACTTCTTTTTTTTTTTTTTTCCTTCTTTTCCTTTTAAAATAAATTCTTGCTGTTGAAGCTTTCTAAAGATGTTCATTACCTCATTTTTAGGTAGTACAGATGGACGAGTGTTCAACTTATAAAATGCCTGTAAGATTGATTGCTTCAGTTTTTCTTTTGTCTTCTCCACAGAATTATGTGCTAAAGAAATTTAATATATAGGAGGATGTTTTAGTCTGAAAATTTCAAGACCTTTAATCAATGTTCATAAGCCATTGTCTTGAACATTTAAACCTGGGGGAAAAAAGAATCCAGTTTTTCATTTGGTTCAGCTGCATTTTACAGGATATTTTTGCACTGCTAATAGAGATCTGCCCTGATACAGTGCCTGTTTCCCTGCACTCCTATCCATGCAGTAAGAAGATTGTTTAGGGTATCAGTAATTTTTTCTCCTTTAATTTTAAGAATCTCTTTACAAGTTTTTTTTCTGACTTATTTTTCAGGTTTGGAAAAGTGTTTTTTTTTTAAAAAGTATTCTTCAAGTGTATTCTTTTCTTAGTAAACGTGCTGTTGTTTGCTTTTTCTTTAACAGTATTTCAGTCTATCCAGAAAGAAGATAGTGTACTACACCAGCTTTGACCAGCGGAAACGAGCAAATGCAGCATTTTTAATAGGTGCATATGCTGTAAGTACTATTTATCACATGGATACCTCTAACCTTCTTAAGAGACTTCTGCTGTGTGTAAAATAGCTTCTCAAGGGATGCTTCTTTAGGGAGGCAGGCAGGCAGATTGTCATTTCCTTCTTCTCTAAGCTGTCTTGGAAAATTCTGCTGTACGAGTTTTAGGGAAACGCTGTTGTTGTCCCATAACTCCATTTGTTTTACACAGGGAATGGCTTTGGTGGATCATGTACATGTTTCCCATAAGATACCATTTTCTTGAATGCTGAAAATGCAAACCACAAACTGGCCTCTAAACTTGGCTGTCTTAAGATCAATTGCTGCTCATGGCAGTAGCAAGAGTCGTACTGAGGAGGAGACAGCTTTTTCTCACGGCATTTCTTAAGGTTATTAGACCAGAGGCATAGTGAAAATTTAATTTATTTTCTCAGTTAATTTTCATAGCCTCCTCAGAGTAATGGAAAATGGAGGTATTTCAGCCTTCCAGTATTACAGATAATATGCAATGCACAATGCCATCTTAGTTATATAAGCCTAATTTATTATGATATGATATATTTATTATGATATGATATATGTAATATTTCTTATTATGACAAATTTTTATAGTCCCAAGATGACTTGCACAGCCACTTGTGTGTCTTATAGCAGCATGACTCAAACTTCAATTTCACTTTCCTGGTCTATTGTGCAGAATTGGAGCACACTTGCAGAAAACTCAGTCTTTGCAATAAAAAGTTTTATGCCACTAAAGTATTCAGCTGAATTCTGGAAGTCTGTTTAGTCAGGCTTTATACCTGTGTGAGATCTGTAATACTCATTTCAGGCCTGAGGTCATGCTGGAAGCAAGGCTCAAGAAGTGCAGATGATAATATTGAAAGGATTTAGTTTGCAGATTCTCATAATTAAGGTGTTTTGATACAAGTGTGTCAGTATCATGTAAATGCTCTTGAGAAAGATCTGTTTAGATTTTAAGATGGGAAGAAATTGGGGCTAAGTTCAAATTTTTAAAAACTTTGGGTTGGATTTTTAACTCTTGGGTGTAGACATAATGGGACAAGTCTACAAAGGGACTAGTAAGAGCAATTGAGTTAGAATGTTCTAAGTTTGTTAATGTTTTTGACTGTACAAGGCTATATTTAATAATGGCTGTAATTAATTTCAAATTCTGTGTTTCATATTCTCTTTAAGAATCTCCAAATTTGACAGCATATCTTTATGGGATGAAAGATATTTAAGGGACAGCTTTATTGAATGCCCTTACTGGATTGGCCTGATCCTGCCATCACCTTCCCATATATCTTAGAACCCTTGGACAGGGTGGGACACTGGCATTGTGAAGGGGATGAGATTCTTTTTATTTCTCTTGTCCAGTGCTTATTATGTGATCTGCTTAATTAAACTGCAATTCTCTGTGGTTAAGGGACTAAAAGTCTGCATTATCAGTATTAGGGAGACCCAAGGAGAGAGTGCTACTGTCCAGGAAGATAACTTCTTGCCAAGCCAGGTTGCAGGAACAGAAAAGTAAGGAAGTATGTAAGATGCAGAACTCCAAGCACAAGACTGATCAGCTAAGTAAGACTGTGCCACATTTACAGTATTTAGGGCTTAAACATGGGAACAGTCTGAAATATTTGGTAGTCCTTATTTGAAGGAGCTGCTTAGCAGTTAAAAGTAGGGAAGAAGGCACATGGTGGTAGGGGAGGGCAGCAGAAATCCCTCTAAAGGGAGCTGAGAGGGAGAGCACATAGTTTGTGTTCCATGGCCTGACTTTATGTAGTCTGAAATGCACATCTGGGAGCACCTCATGTAAAGAGTTGGTAGCTTATGTGTGCAATAAGGTAAATTAGTGTGCCACAACTGCATACATATTTAACCCTTGTCTAGCCTGTTTAAGCTGCTCAGAGCTCTTAATTACTAGCATATGCAAATGAGAGGCATCTGCATTGGATGCTGTTGCTCTCCTGTCAGACAAGTAGATGTGTTAAGTACCTTCTTATTATTGAAGCTATTATGTACAAAGAATAATTCTTTACTCATACAGTGTTACCAGTACAAAAAGTATAGCTTTTCTTGTTGAAAACACCTTTTGGTTGCTTTCTAATTCATCTCAGTTTAGTATAATGTTGGAAAATGGTTTGCACAAAGGTATCCAATATTTTATATAAATGCCATCCCAGAATTATTTCTATGTGTATTTCTAAACTTGCAAGTTTTATGGGAGTTCATTCACCTTTTTGATAATGATTGATACTAATGCCAAAAGATTCTGAAAATGAATATTTATTTATTCTAAAAAGCCATTTATTATCTACTGAATAACCTGGTTTTTGTTAACTGCAGCAGCTTTGCTTTTGTAATCCAGGCATGTTCATTTCACACTCCAGAAATAATATTTGCATTTTGGAGTGTCTTACTTGTTCAGTCAGATGCAGGTTTCTGACCTGCAGGTACAGGGCTGTTCCTGACCTGCAGGAATCTAATTGTATTCTTCAGTAGAATAACTGTGTATAATTGTCAGCTTGATCTATCACAACTTGAATGGCCAAATTGTGACAGAAATGTGTATTATTTGACTTAAGGTCTTTTAGATTTTTGTGGTTTCTTTCTTTGATTGTGCAAGATTTTTGAGAGCAGGAAGTCTTTTAGCTAAGAACTCTACCATTGTGTAAAAGTTAATTGAGAAGGCTTGGTTTATTTGTCCTGGTGTTAAAACATTAAGTGTAAAATGAAACGTGGAAAGCAGTGGATCAGGTTCTAGGAATGGGTTTCCAGTGATGATTACGCAATTTATATTGTTCCATTAAACAGCTTCTTAGACCTGTTTTATTAAAATACCCTCTAGCTATTAAAATATTTTAATAACAGAGTCATAAATTTGAGTGAAAGGTAAGTCTTAAAACTTCATTAGCAATAGCTTTCCTGGTTGTAAATCACAACTGAGGAAGATGCATTTTCTAAATTTCAGTTTTTACAATGGACATTGAATACATTTGGGTAATCATGTCCAGTGAAATTATTGTCCTTGCTCTTAAGAATTCTGAAGAAATTACTTCTGTCATAAATTCACATTAAGAAAAAAGGAAGTTTAAAGTGTTACAAGAAAAGAAGAACTTCTCTGATTGTATAGAGGTTCCTCATAAATGGCCAAGACTATGACACAGACTGGTCAGGGGTGTGAGGAACAGAGTGCTGCTAGGCTTTGCAGTCTTACCAGGCATGACAGAGACTATATTGAAGTTGTGTTGTTTTGCTTTTCCTTTCATCTGTTTGGAGATTTTAGTTGTTAGGATTTTTATCTAGTCTTCCACAACAGTTAATTTTGTTTTTAATTGTTAAATCAAAAAATTGTTTTAAAATACTATTGCAGGTACTTTCATGCATACCAGGGAGAAAAGCTGTTGAGTTTGTAGTTTTATCACAGCAAATGTCTGGGTAATAGAGAACTACTGTGGCATGTTCAGTCATTTGCTTGCAGGAGAGTCTTTTGCTAATTTAAAAATCTAAATTAGACATCTCAGCCCTACCTGAAGCCTTAAGGATTGTTTGCTGGTAATCTAAGCATGTCACACTAGTGCTCAAATCTTTAATCCCTCCCTTGGAAGGTCAGCAAGTGCAAAGGCTTTTCAGTTACTGCAGCACGTGCAGCCCCTTTGCTGTACACCTTTCTGCAGATTGCTTTAGGCTGTCTTCACAGAACTCTGCTGATGGCTTAGCAGCCCTAGAGGGGATCAGTTCCCTATACTTCTAATTTGAACATGGCAGGTGCAGGTGGGAACAAGATGAATCCAAATTGCATTTGAAATATTGTGCGTAAGTGTTAAGGTGAACTTGCAAAATACTAATTCCCTTTTTCTCCTGTAAGCTTTTTAGGACATATGGTATGAGTTTTCTTGACAGTGGATATATGGCCAGTACTGCTACATGTTGTGTGCCTGCATAGTGTCCCAGCTGTGGGCAACTTTATCTTTCAACACATCATTATTCAGGAGGTTGAAAACATAAAAATGGACATGTCAGAGAAAAAAAAAATAATTAAAAATGTTGAAATGAGTACGTGTTGCATCTGGTTTTTGCAAGTAGCAATGCCACATGATAAAAATTATAGCAGTGACAGTGGGGAAAGGGAGGAGAACCTTGTCCCCTGTGAAAAAACTCTTGTAAGAGAATAGTTACTATCTGTAAAGTGATTTTTTTTCTCTTTTGCTGAGTCTTTTACTCACATTCTTTCTTAGATGCAGGTTCTGTTTATCCAGACTTTTCACAATAGGTTTTCTGTTGTTGGATTTTTATTTGTATATGTCACAGGATGAAAGCACTCTGAAGATTCATCATTTCAGGTTAAAAAAATGAAGCTAAGTTTCAGTTGCAGAGCTTTCATTGATAAAGATGAGTCAGAAATGTCTCATCAATTTTTCTTAATGGAAATCACTATTTTTTAGGTACTGAAGACATGTACTGTAGTGTTTTGTTCTTCATTATCTTCCTCCTTCAGTTATTTCATTGTTCTTGACATCCATGATACTTATGGTTTTTTTCAGTTCTGTTCTGTGTTTCTTTCTCTCTACTTCTTCCTTTTATGTTAATATCTCTTTCCATCCTGATGTCTTTATTATGAGCCTTTATGAGCTTTGTGGACAGAAAACTAGCAGTGTTTAGTTCAAAATGTCACCTATATATGTCTCTGAGCAGAGACAGCTCTGAAGTCCCATAACTTCTGTGAAATAAAACCTGCAGTATTGAGAAGACATTTGTATAGTACAAATTTGCCCCTACTTCAGATTCCTGACTCCTCAACTGTGTAAGATGGAAATTCATGTTTCCCTGAAGTCCTCTGAACTGCCCTCTGAGGATCTTTTGACTACAAGCAGGAATTTAGGCTTTTAAACATAAGTTAATTTACATGATTGCTGACATTAATTGACATTCCCTGAAATACACTCCTCACTGACATCTATTGCACAGGCTGCATTGTTCTTAAATGCAAAACCTCTGTGGTGGTGGGAAGGATAAAGAAATATGAAGACTGCTTTCATAGACTAAAAGAATATTTTGCAAATGACTGAAAGCAGAATAGCATTTTATACTGGAGGGGTTTAGAGCATGGAGCTGGTGCCATTAGACAGCAATCATTGCTGTAGATATACAGATTGTTACAGCTATAAAAGAAAAGAAAGGAGCCTCTCTACTTTTTGAATTAAATACATATATCCATTGAGTAAATCTTTCAATCTGTTCCAGTACTAGTAATTAGTGGAACAGGTTGCTCAGAAAGGTATCTCCTCCTTCCTGGAGATATTCAAGAACTGTCTGGACACAATCCTTTGCAATGTGCTCTAGGATGACCCTGCATGAGCAGGGAGGTTGGACCAGATGAGCCATTGTGGCCCCTTACAGATGGCCCATTCTAGGACCCAAATAATTGAGTTAGAAGCAATTGCTCTGATAACATGGAATAAATGGAATGATTTTCATATAGAAATTGTGTGTTTTGGTGATGCATTGCTTTCAGAGTTTAAGGAGGGAGGGAGTATGGAAGTTCAGGCAAATACAGGGACATTCATACTGAAAAACATACACTTGTGAAATGAAACAGCAATACTGACACTGCTGCAGTATTGAGCGTTAACATTTGAATGTAACTGGGGTTTGTTGCTCTTCTTGGCTACTGATTCATGCTATGGGTGTGACCGTGATGAGTGGAGCTGCAACGCTGGAGACACAGGCTAAAATACAATTCCAAGTCAGAGAATTGACCTTTTGAAGGCAGATCAGTTTGTGTAGAGGGGTTTTGTCCAAAATTAGACTGGTTGTTCAATGCAGTCAAATAGGTGGTGGTTGAAAAATAAAGATAATTCTGGACCATCTTTTTATTGCACAATGGCCAAGAGTTTTTCAGACTGTTGCATTTGATGAAAGATTCTGGATCATCTTTTTATTGCACAATGGCCAAGTGTTTTTCAGACTGTTGCATTTGATGAAATTTTTTGTATTTTATTTAATCCTTATCTTGTCTTTTCTGTCTGCCTTGTCCATGCTTGAGGAAGAAATGGCAGAAAATCTACCTAACATGATGACATCATACAGAACACAAAGAATGCCATTAACTTGAGATATGACTCTAGGCATAAAGCACAGTGCAAATACTCTGGGAGTGACCATCACTTACCTATATTCTAATGTGCTCAAGGTCAAAAATTGAATAGACCTTTTAGATCAGAAAGTACTTTATATTCAGCAGTTAAGTGTGCAGAGCTATAAAGTAGCCATGTAGATGCTGGTTGTAAGGTGAGCTGGAGGGAAATGGCTAGGAAAACTGTGTCTTTGTTTGCAAAACATTTGTATATGTGAAATATGCTGCTCCAAACTGGATGAATTATTTTCTTTTGGAAATAATGCACTTGCTCAATAGGTTTTTCAAATTAGATTTATTTTGGGACCGTTTTTACTATACAAATAGGAATTGAAAAGCAGTAAGATGTGCCTGTATTCTAATTTTTCACTCAAGACAGTGCAGCTGATAGCGTTCAGTGATAGCAGAATGAGCCGTGACTTAGCATGTTACATTAACTATATGTTGGTCTCATAGTAACATGTTGAGATTTTTCAATTTTGTTAATTGTTTGATATTGACAATTAGGAATCAAAAAATATTGGTGTTGGTAAATCTTCCATTGAGCTGTTGTGGAGATATGTTTCCTTTGTCAGTTGCTGTGATAATATTTTGTCTCATCTGATGTTGGGCAGAGAACTCCCAGTATAGATACCTATTCTTCATCTTAGTATGATGTTGAATCTGTCCAAAAGTGTCTCAGTTGCAGAAATATATGGCTTTTTTCCCTGATTTTTTAAAAAAAATAGAAATCCCAATTTCTGTTGATTTCCAAATCTTTCCTTTGTGTCTTTTCTAATCTTTTTATGTCATAGGAGTTGGTCATGAAGGAGTATAGTGTATGTTCTTAGGAGTTTAGTAGGCTGAGGGAAGTTAACATCTGTTACTGACTTTTCAGGCTTGGGCTGAATTATTTTTTTTCTCTTCCCTCATCCCTTTTAGGTAATATTCTTGAAGAAAACACCAGAAGAAGCTTACAGGACGCTTTTGTCTGGATCTAATCCACCATATCTTCCATTTAGGTATGTGAACACAACAAATGAGCCTCACTTTTCTGTTTTGAAATTCGCTGAATTATTATTTTTTTTTCAGATTGCCTTCCCAAGAAAGGGTTTCATTGTGATACAGACATTGTATCAAAATGACCAATCTCCAGAAAAAATATTTTTTATATCTGGTGGAATTACTTGCTCTGTGTTGGAATAATGAATCATTTAGATTGATACAAGTTTTAAGTAAGATTCCCGGTCTTGCAAACCATCAGGGTTTGAAAATAGTTCTTAGCATGTTTGTGATTTAACAATTAAACCTCTTCTTTATCATGTATCATGTTTTTGTTCAAAAGTCATTCAAGTCTTTTAAATTAGCTAGTCCCTAACTAGCTAGACTTACAGGAATGAAGGGGGGTTTATGCTGGTATATTTTCTCTATTTTACAAAACAAGTACTGATATTAAAGTTAGTAAATATTTTCAGTGAATCATGGGTAATTTCAATCTGTCTTTATTCTCTGTACTAAGGTCAGAGACTTGAATCTCTGTAGTTTTAGTTATCATGCATATCTCAAAGGGAATTCCAAATTTTTTTGCTGGTGTGGACTATGAAATGCCCTTGTGCTTTATGAATGAGAATGCCTCAGTATTCTGATGCAAACACTGGCAGTAAAAGGCAACTGCAAGAAGGTCAATATCATCTTTTTTAGGGGAGTCAGCATTTTACAAGTAGTGTTCTCTGTCAGCCAGTGCATTTGTAAATGTAGACCTAACTTGTCTATATCAAATTCATCTGATTCTTCAGCCACTCAGCAAAGCAAGATCAGATTTTCTCTTCTCACACCGTGTGCAGCAGCCAGATACAGTGTAAACTGTTACTCTACTCCAGCTCAAACCAGCACAGGGTGGTAGGATTTTTAGGAAAAGACTAGTTTGACTATGAAATCTTAGACCGTCAAACACCTTTCTAAAAAGGTGTCAGTGGTAGCTTTCATTGTCAGAGTTTATACACTGACCTGGTCATCAATAGCTCTCCAAAGCCCAGGAAGTATACCAAGCTATTGGTATTCATGTTTTTTCAGCTGCTGTAAAAGTTACTTGGTACAATATATTTTAAAAAATCAGTTATTTTGAGCATGTCAGTGTTGTTTAACTTATCCAAATTCCATATAAAATACAGGAGTCATGGTCTGCATTAAATCAAGAGTAATATTTGAATGTGCCTTAGCATTGCTTACATGAGGATCTGCTCCATGATCTTAGCAGGCACAGAGGTGAGTGAGGCTCACTGGTGTGCAGTTCTCCAGCTCTTCCATTCTACCCTTTTTCACTGGTGTGCAGGTCTCCAGCTCTTCCATTCTACCCTTTTTAAAAATAAGAGTCATGTTTCCCTTTTCCCAGTCACTGGGGACTTTGCCTCACCACCATGACTTTTCAAATATGATGGAGAGTGGCTTGGCAACACCACTAGCCAGTTCCCTGGCGACCCTGGGGTGCATTTCATCAGGCCTCATACCTGAGTAGCTATATCTTGTTCATTGATTAAAGAAATTTACTGTTTGGAATTATAGTAAATTGATATGTCTTTAGGTTTTTCTCTCCCCTGCCAAAGTAAGGATTAAGGTGTGTAGAAAAAAGGTTCTGATAAAGTGAAGAATTACTTGTCAGATCCCCAAATTCTAAGACAAAAAACTTGAGAGAAATAAAATGTTTGCAGCACAGTCTCCTATGACCCAATTCACTCCAACCAAAGGCTACAGACTTTGGTTGTTGCCTTGCAACCAATTCCGTATCATAATGATGTTGACAGTAGTAGTAATAATAAAAAATGCTGTTTCTGCTTTACTGGTAAGTAGTAGTGAAAGTAATTTGCTCTGTGATTTCTTGTGAGGCTGAGGGGAACAACGGTAACAAATTTATTGACATGAAACAATTTCATTTAAAGTGTTAAATCATTATTCAAAGCAAATCCTAATGAGTTTGAATTCTTAAAATTCTATCCTAAAATAGAATAGTTAGCTACTCTGGGATCAGCAAAAAAATAGAAGAAACGGCAAGATTTTCTGAAGATTATTTTATATGATATGCAATGAGCATCTTGTGTTTCCCAGGGGAGAGCACACTAACTGAAAATATTGAAGAAGGCAATGTCCAGCAAAAGGGCTACTCAGATTTTGTTGTGTGGGTTGTCAAAATGATTACAAAAGTATAATTCCTGCATTCCATTTGTCAGCTTCAGGAGAAGAGGGCAATTTATAGAGTAGGAAGTCTGATACATAACTCCTCTGCAGTCTTTGTGTGTTTCAAGCCCTAGGTTGTTGTGAGATAACTGGTTGGCTAAAACTAAAGCTTTTTTGACAGATTGTGGGTTTGGTTTATTTACTGGGTTTTCTCTGGTGTGGATGGGATTTGCTATGTGTTTGGGGGTTTTGTTGGTGGGGTTTTTTTGGTTTTTTAAATTCAAAGCTTTGGCTATTTTAGAGGATGGGAGGGAGACAATCTTCTCGAGCAGAGCCTTCCTGTTTATCGAAGGAATATAGTATTTTGAACTTTTGCTAGAAGAATTAAGCATCTTGATTTCTTGAGCATTTTCTTACATGGTGTGGGGCTGGAAAGCACTTAAGTTTCTTTTGGAGCTGCTTTGATTACGTCAGGTCTTGGCAGTGGATTAGAGCCTAAGCAGATTCTGTTACCTGCATTGTAGTTTGTCCTGCTGGGAAAGATGGGTGTGTAATCTTGCTGTGCCAGAGGTGAAACAAAGAGGAGTCAGGAAATAAACTGAAAGATTATGACAAGATAGAAGGCTTGGTAAGAAATGGGAAGTCTGATAGGGAGGGCATATTTGGATTTTGAATTCATAGGAAGATGCTGGAATAGATACATAAGGAGCTTAAGAATTACTGGGGCTGAGAGAAGGGCAAGTAGATCTGACGAGGGCCTGCAGTGGGACAATCGAGATTAGCTGAGAATGGGGAAGAAATAATTTAATCTTCCTTCCCTGGTTTTCTGAGGTCTTTGGAAATTTCCCTCCCCATCCAATCCAAGACATTTGAGACATCTCTGCGACATATAGCATAATACAGAGGCTCAAGCATTTGAACCTGTGCTGGAAGCAGTAGCTCTGCCTTAGGTAGTATATCTGCTAGGCATCACGCTATACTGTGAAGAAACAAGTTGGTGCTATGAGGAAGTTTGTACTCCTTCCACATCTATAGTGTCTTGAAAAGGACTAAAATGAGTTTTATGTACAGTTCTAAACATAAATCCAAATGTCTTACCTCTTCCCTTCCATTCCAAGGTCTACAAAGGAAATATTTTGAGGTACTAATCATTGCTATTCAGTACTTATTAACTTGAATTTTTTCTTGCAGCCTGGAACTTAGATATTATATAACTTCTGTAGTATAGGTCATCTCTGTTTGAATAGTTCAAGTGAAGAGCTTATCAGTGAGCAATGATCAGTTAAGTGTTACAACTGGACTATTTAGCAAGTTTGTTAATTTGATATCTGAAGTGTCTTCTGTTTGAAAAAAAAATAGGCAGCTTTGAATAGGTAGAAGCTCCAGGATTGCTGGGTTCTTTGTGGAGCACTGAGGTAGGTTTACATGAAGTGGTCACTGGGAAACTGATCTACTTTCATCTAGCTCAATGACCTCAAAAAGCCTTAATCGGCTTAGAACTTCAGCTGGCATTTCATTTAAAGACAGCTTCAGCAAATATAGCTCGGGGTGAAAGGAAGTCAGAATACCCCTCTCAAAAGATACATGGATATTTTTTGGTTTTGTTTTTCTAATAGAAAAGCTCAAGATAACTTGGGAGGATAAGGCACTACTGTCTTTGAGGCATTTGCCTCTTACTTTGGCTGAGTCTCTGTCACCTGGTGACGCTCTAGTCTCTTGAAGATCTTATACTGTATCTTCTCACTTTGATTTAAAAAACCATGCTGACACCATTTAAAGTTGTCATAAATACCAGTTGCCTACTGGGAAACAATTTCAGGTTTTTAGCTCAAACTACTCTGAATTGATTTAATGTTCAAGGGGAAAACCAAATATGTGGTATTACCGTGTTCAGTCTCTAAATAATGACATTAATTTCAGAGCTAGATTTTAGTTTGTAGCTTTTGGGGTTTGTTTCTTTATTGGCAAGTGCTGGGGAAACAAACTATTTTGTTATTGAAAATGTTGGGGTTTGGTGAAAGGGAAAGCATTATGCAGTATTGAGGTCAGCTACAACAACTGTGAAATCGGATGTGGGATATGCAGCCCTGTAATGCCAGCTCAGATTCAGACTATGTCTGCATCGCCTAGAAATAGTCACATTTTTCTCATTCTGAAAGTAAATGGAGTACTGTCATGTAATAGTTGGTAAAACACTATTTGAAAAACAAGGTGATTATGTATTTGGCCATAAAAGACTGGGAGAATACTGTGATGGAACATGTGATCAGCAACAAAAATCAGAGCACCCACACTGCAAAGCAGCTGGGTATGTCTGTATGTGCTCTGTTGCCTTATTCTGATATGAAATGAGGTTTTCCTTTTTCTTCTGTGCTTTCTTAAATATACAGACTTCTGAGTTGAACAGAAAGGTCTAAGATTTGAAATGCAAGTTTCACGTAAATGTTTTTATATATACATAAGTAGTCCCAGTAGGTTAAAAATTACTGTGTTAAACATAAGCACATACATTAGTTTTCTGTAGGATATTGTGCTGACTGTGTGCAGTGGAAAAAGGAGAAAAAGCTTAAATAGCAAGAATGTTAATTTACTCTAGAATGATATGTTTCTTCAAGATTAGGAAAGGTATTTTTTGCTGTTAGTCCTTGCATTTGGTTTTAGTGTGGAACAAAGTGTGGCCTGCTCAGAATCTATTGCATTTTAGCTAAAACAAGTATTAAATATTGCCCTAAAACTTCTGCAATCTATCTATAGATAGATAGATTTCTATAGTATAAAGGAACAGCAAGTTTGTGGATCTAGCACTATATAATTGACTTCTCACGTCAATGTGGTATGAGATTAACTGTATTTCTGGCAGGATTTTTGCAAAGGTTAGTACTAGTTCTGACAGTATCCAGTATTTTTATCCATGGTCCGGAAACTTATACAAAATCAGTAGGAAGGTGGGTTGTCACAAAGAATGGTGAAGCTGAATTAGCTCTTCTGCATTAGTTGTTAATTATTTTTCTTCAGTAAATACATTAATTCAATAGGATTCAAAAAAACAAGATCAAATTTGGGTTGTTTAATATTTACTAATCTTGATGATTTCACATGACTTCTGTCTGGGTTTTTTGGGAAAGATCAAGACCTTGATAACCCAGCCTAAGCCTGGAGGAAATCATCTAGGTAACTGGGGGTAGATTTGTTTTGGTTTTCCTTTTAACAAAGAATGAGTCAAAATAATTAGAGACTTAAAATACCTTAGACAAGGTGTCCCTCTAAACTAAAAGATATTTGGGTCAAGTAAATTATTTAAAACATTCAGGAAATTAGGTCACAAACTCTTAATCTTTGTCTTTTGAGGCATTTTCTGACATGCAGTCAGCAGTAAGATTGGCATTAAACATCTGTCCTCTCTAATATTTCTGCAAAATGCTGTTTGACTAAACTCTAAAGGAATACTAACATTTCTCTGGAATAATATAAAATCATCTGTTTGATAGGAAGATTGGATATTAAAAAATTTCACTTTATAAGTACACTGTGACTTTTCATCATAAATAAACTACTTTTTAACATTGTTTTAATATTTAAAACTACTTTGTAAAATGTGTGACTTGCTGTATGTTCTGAAACTACTGACTTGGGTTTCAGCTCCTAATACTGAAACCACAAGCACTTGCCTTACCTGTGCTTCAGACACTGCTCTAACCTGTCAATGGATTCAGCATGCAGAGTCCTCATGGATTATATGTAGAACTTCTTCCAGATGAATTGCTTTGTTCTTGCACCTAAAATGTAATACCTGCAGACAGTTTGGTTTAAAATTCTGGAGTGTAAAACTGAAGTTTCAGAAAGTGTTTTGCATCTGGAATTGATTCTAATCAGCCAACTGTACTTTTGGAAACTAGAGAAGAAAAAATGTGTGTGTATATATGTTCCTCGATTCATTTTGAAAAGGATTGAAAGTGCTAAAATAAAAATGGCTGTGGCTTTAAAAAAAAAAATTGCATAGATTTTGTTCCATTATCTTGTTCTCCAAATTACGACAGAAGGAACTTGTGTGATTTGCTTGTGTTTCATAAATAGATGGAGGGGAGTTTTTCAGATGTTAACTCAGTGTTGTGTTTCTTTAAAAAAACCAAACATTAGAATGCTGCTATTCTTTGAGTTCCTGGGAAATTGGGATTAGGTTTTTATTTGGTCACTGGGAATGTGTCTGTGGGAACTGTGGCTAAGAATACTGCACACCTGGAGTTGTGAGAGGCTTATCTTGTACATCTAGGTCAGGTTCATTGTTCTCTCCCCCTCTCATAGTGTTTCTTATTAACAGATTAGAGATTATGTGGCTTTTTTCCCCCAGGATTGTTTTTCTGCACTGCACTATCAGATGCATTATCAGTTGCAGAAACATACATATAGGTAAAATAAAAGTAATCTTATTGTTGTAGCAAAATAAGATAGGACATGTCTGCTACAATCATATCTTCTGTTCGTATTTCTCTAGTACTTAATTTTGTGGTTTGCATTGGTTTGGATTTTATTTCTGTCAGCCCCTTCAGAAAACTGTTACAGCTTTCTGCTATGTAACATATTCCCATTGGGTCCTTAGGGGTTTTTTTTGCTCAAAAGACCTTTTTATTTGCTAAAATGCTTTTGTGTTAAAATGATCTGTTGTCCAACTTTACTATGTCAAAAATGTGTTGTCTATAAAGTTCATATTTTATAGCTTTGATATGTTTTGCTTATCACCATAATGAAAATACTTTATGGCTTCTCATTTTTAGAAACCTTCTTGTTGGATTTGATTATGGAAAGTTTATACATACCTTAGAGTTCCCATTCCAAAACATTGTGTGTTTTAATAATCTAATAATTCAAAAGCTTTTCTAGAGTCTGTGATATAACATATAAGCCTGTCTGTAATATAACACTACCAAAATTGTAGCTTTTAATTTTCTTATAAACATTTTCTATGAACACTGCTTGCTCAAAACTGCTATACTGATTCTGTTCTTAAAGAATAGGTGGGAATATTATACTCTTAAAGTACTTCAGATTGAAGGAACATATCAGTATAATAAATTTCATACTACTTACAGCAAGGAGATTATCAAAAAAGGCAAGTTTTCAGTGAAAGATTGAAATTTTGAATCAATTACAGATTAAGTATCTGTCTGGCTGAAGCTTAAAATGTTGCTATTCTGATAAATTGCAGCTCTTAGGATTTTTTCTGAGAGAGCTTAGAGCAAAGCTGTAAGAGGTTTCTTTAATGAGTGACAGGGAAATAATCTGCCCAGGCAGAATTTTGTTAAAGTCCAGTCAGTCTGAAGCACACTTTGAAAAGTGTTTTTTTATTTTTCCACGATGCATTTTTTGGGTGGTGTTATTTTTTTGTTGGTGTCTCTTACCACTTCAATATGTTTTGATTTGGAGTCTCATTTCATCTTTTAAAGAGAAATTGTAATTTTCATAGTGGCAGAACTGAGGTTAGGTAATTTTAAGTTTAATTATATATGGATAAATTTTAATCACATCTGTAATCAGGCATCAAAATGAAAGCCTGTAAATTAATTCCAAGCTAGTACTCTTATTTGCCTGTTCCTGTTAGTGTAACTCAAGACTTGAATAATGGTTAAAGCAAGATTTGCTTTATTTGCTGCTAACCTTGCACAGTGGAGAGGGGATGCAAAGCTTCCTGTTCCAGGATAGCCTAAATTGGTAAAGAGCATGTAGTTAGCCACTGTAAAATATGCACTTAAAATAATTTGCTGTATCTAAGTGCATTTACTCTGAGCTTCATCTTGGGTAGGGGAGTGCTTTAGCATGAATAAGCTTCTAAAAAAGATGTCTTCTTCGAATAATTTAGAGTTCTCAGAGGGGATTGAATAGTTTGAGTGTATTCTGTTGTGTGCTGCCTTTCCCTGAGTTGTTAAAATAATTGTGTATATTAAATTCACTTGTATTAAATCTATAGGGATGCTTCATTTGGGAACTGCACGTACAATCTTACCATCTTGGACTGTTTACAGGGAGTCAATAAGGTAATAACATTTTTCCGTAGCAAAACAAGTTGAAATTGACTTATAAAACATGAAGGAAAATACTGTTAAAATAGATTGTAGAGTCTGGTGTGAAAGCAAAAGGTGTGTGAATGAGTGGCTCTCATGAAGCCTGAGTTACTGGGTAGTGCCAGCAGAGGAAGGTGATGCTGTTCCCTGGCTGGCCTGGCCTTGGGCAGCTTTTTGAACTCACCTCATGCATCAGAACATGCAGGTGCACCAGGCCTGGCTGGGGCAGCTCTTGACAATGCAAGGCACTGTGCTAGATCTGCTAATGGGTCATTTATAACCATTGGTAAGAGGGAATAACAGCTTGGTAAGTCAAGCGAGACAGATACCCAGGTATGCTGTGATTTAATCTGAGCTGGTTTTGCATGTTCTTGGCCCCAGCTTTCCCCCAAAATGCTTGATTCAGTGTTTGATGCTAATCTCTTCAGAATTGTTTAAAAACAATGAAAAGTAATCTACCTTACAAGTGTTTTGATGTGTCACTTTCCTGGTCCTGGGGAATATTAAGCTCTAATGTTGCTTTTAAAAAAAAAAGTTACATCATGTCTTAATTGGCAACCTTTAAATTTTGTTCAGCATTTCCCAGTGATCTTGATGAAGGGAGCAGGCTATAGGAACAGTTCTGTACAGACACTTTATAGACTATTTGTAATTGTTAAAAGTACGGCAAAACAAGGGCTTTTTAAAAATTGAAAAAAGAGATCAAGCTTAATATTTTTAGTTCTGTGGGGGTGGGAAAGGAGCTGTCAGTTAACAGCAAGACTCTAATTTGTGAGGCATTCTACAGATTCTGAAGCTCTGAAGTAGTCAGTGCAGTCACTGTAATTTATCTGCAATAAATACATGAAAAGAACTGCAAGAATCAATTTTTCCTCCTTTGTTCCCATTACATTTATTACTGAATTTTTGTCCAGTTTACTTACAGAAGTAAAAACACTTTGAGCAGTAACTATATGCCTTAATTTAAAGTAGTCTTAGTCCACCTGGGTAAATTTGGTGTTTGTGTGCATGTATATCATACACATGTAATTCAGGGCCTGCAAATTCTGGAGTGCAGCCAGCCAGGCATGCTTAAATCAGCTCAGACAAACCTCTCAGTATCTGAGGCTTCACGACAGGTCCAGTCATTGAGCTTATATTGTCTACAAGAAGGCTATTCTTGTCCTAAAAAGATGCTCCATGTGTTGCAAACAATGGCAGTCTGATGAATATTGTTTTTAAATCATAGATCTGTGATGTGTTTTTATCACACCTTAATCCAAGAATGTTGTGTATTATCTGCACTTGTCAGAATGCAGTCGATTCAGTATAGATATTGTCTGCAGAAATGTCTTCCACCTATTCTTTGGAATAAATTTGTGCTATGAATTCCATATTCATAGAATTGATTTCCATATGGCATTATACACAATTGGCATATTTAACAATAGTATAGTAATGGAATACAAAACTTCTTTCAATCCTGTAAATAAATACTGTCTAGTGTAATCTAGTGAACTTCACTCTGTTGGTGAAATGTGTATTAAAAGAAATACTGAAATACATGTTATCCATGGTACTGTACTCTGTATATGCCATTTTGCCTAGGTATTATGGTGATAAACCCAGATTATCATATTAAGTATAGAAAATCAATATTCTATGTTTTATATCCAAACATCAAAATATAAATGCATTCAGCATAGAAATCATCAAATGAGTGTATGACAAAAAGGGAATTGCATTTTAACTTGGCATCTGGCTTACAGGAAAAAACCAGACAGGGTGGGATGGGGAGAATCAATGTTATGATTTAAGTGATATGCAACAAACTTATGTCCTGTCATAATGTCTTTGAAGGGGAAATAATGAGCCTAACATGCTTCAGTGACATTGTTGGAGTTTTTGTTGTCTGTGTTGTTAATCTGTGCAAAATGTGATATTGTCTTAACATAAAGGCTTCAATAAGCTAAACCCACAAACATGTAAGAATTTGGTTTTGATTCTCAAAGCAGTCATATAAAATGAGATTATATATCCTATTTCAGTATAAACTGACCCCTTGTTGCCTTTTAGGCCTTGCAGCATGGATTTTTTGACTTTAAGACATTTGATGTGGATGAATATGAACACTATGAGGTTTGTACATTTAATAATGAGTCGAACGTGTTTGGTTTCCCTAAAATAAGAGTATACAGTATCCCACAACTTAAAACATACTGGGAACACATTTTAATTCAAGTAAAACCCAGTGTTCATATGTAAGGTATGTACATCCAAACCTGTATGCTGAATGTGAAAAAACATGTAGGATTAATATCCTTTCCTTTTCAGTGCATCATATAATAAATCTACTGTTCTCTTGTAGACTTTCTGGCTTCCTTGACCTCTTTCATGCTTTCCCAACCTTCCCCAGGATACCATCCAAGGCCTATTAGCTGACCCACAGAATGTGTTTTCTTTCAGCACTTCTTTGCTGCCTCTTGAAATGCTGTTAGTCCCAAATATATGACAAACTTTTTTATTGCCACATGTATTAAGCACATTTTTAGCATTTTTCTTTTTTTAAATTAGGATGCATTATATGGAGATTCTAGTAATGGAAATACATCCAAAGTATTTCCATAATGAAATCCCAAAAAGCTGATATGTCATTCATTGTTCTGCCAACCTTCTTACGACTTAAGAATACTCTGCTGACCCTAGATGCTTCTAGGACTTTGTGGCATACCCACTTTTACCTGTTTTTTAACGCAAAGTCATCTCAAGCTACATTACTTTAGAGAAGCTTTGAAACTGCCTGTGCTGTACCTGTGAGCTGGGCTGTGTGTGGAGGAATTCACAGGCACAGAAGGTGTATGTACATCTGGTCCAGAATAGTTATGTGGTTTTTGTCTACCATGTCTCAACTCAAAAAAAGGTTTTTTACTAAAGTTAGTGACAACCATCTGGTTGTATCAGACCTTGTCTTTGGAACTCCCTTAAATTCCTGAAGTTGTTGGTTAAGGAGAAAACTCAACCTGTACTAACTTTTGGATATATATTAAACTCTCTTTATAGAGTTGCGTTACTTTACTCTAGTCAGTGTTCTTCCCCTCAGCCCTTCTACTGCAATTTTCAGAAAACTAGAATAATAAAGTTGTTTAGTCTGAAAACCTCCATTTTAAAAGCATTTCCTGTACCTGTGTATATTTCAGATATGTACAGAAATGCATCATAAATGTTCATGAACATGAAGCCAGAAGAGGAATAAGCAGTGGAAAAAATTTACAACACAAACCTATACAGCAGATGTTGTCTGCAGTAGGCAGTCTAGATTACATATTCACAAAAATTCACAAAAATTGAAGGCATTTGTGGAAGGATTTCTGTGTCCTGTAATGTTCCATAGTGATTAGGTTGATAAATTGGTACAGCCTTTGCTAAATTGCCAAAAATAAATGAATAGGAACTAACATTTAAAGGATGAAATTGCTGTGCTTTTTTGCACAAAAAAATGTACAAAAGGAAAACGTTTGTTCTAAAAACAAATGATAGTTGGCAATATTTAGGATTCTGTATATATAGTAGGCATTAGTTTGCCTGAAAACAAGTGTTAAAATAATTGACTAAAGTTATCCCATTATCTTGTTTAATGTTTAACATTATTTTAGTCTGTGAAAAGTACATATGTGTGAATGATGTTCACAGTACACTGTGCTGAGTTTAAGAAGTGAAAACTTGGAATCATCTTTGATTCTTTTTGTCCATTTTTTGGTATGTCTTTTTTTTTTTTCAAACGCATCCTGGTCAGCTTTGTGTTTAGATATGTCCTGTGCTATATTTCAAAAACTTTATATGTCCCAGGTTTTTGCTATGTTAGGTCTTCCAGTGTGTGGTTGTGTGGAGAAAAGTTGCATACAACTTAAATGAAGGAGGCTAAAGGAAATTTTATTTCATGTTTATAGTTCTTTCATCTTACAGTGTTATCAAGGCAGCTAATTCCCCTTTTGTTGGACTAGATGTTCTGAAGTTTTTGGGGTTTTTTTTCAATAATAATGTTGTTTGCATGTAGTGCTGAGTGTTTGTATCCACATAGATACCTGTAGTTCGTATTGGTTAAAATTTAAATTATTTGCAATAAGTCATGTAACTAAAGAACACTTAATTCACAAATAAAACTAGAAATACAAATATAAAAATGCTTTTACTGAACAGGACTTTTTCCCTGAAGGGAGCAGAGGTGCTACAATGTTGAGATTGCAGTCTGAGATAGAAACTGGGGGGGCAAAGGGTCCTGACTTGGCAGTAAGGTTGGTTCACTAGTCCTTATGCAACTTTGTTAGCTTACAGGAGTTTTCAGTGGATGAGGACATTTGGAGCAAGCCTAATGGACTCAGCTAAGCAAACAGTTGGTGAATTGATTGCAGTCATGTCCATTATCAGAACCTTTCACTCATTAAGATGTTTTGATGAGCTGAGAGCTAAAATCTCAAGCTTAATAATGCTGCTGAACTGAGTGCCATGTCCTCAAAAGTCATGCTGAGAATAACTGCACTGCCAAATGAGGAATGAGAAGTCTTCAATTAAAAAAAGAAAAGACAGTTTTGAACTACAGTTCATGTTATGTATTTCCAAAGAAGCTTTCATTTTTAGCACTGACAGAATTTGAAGAGCCTTTATGAAGTTTCCATTTAAAAGTGAGCAAAGAATACAAACTGTCACAGTTTGAAAGTTTTTTAAATTTAGCCTTTTTCTTTGATTTATACTTCCCTTCTATGATTACTGGCTCAGCAGAGTTATGCCAATATGTAAATTTCAGTTTCTACAGGGAAAGGATAATTGTTTTGAAGCTAATTGGTTTTTAATTTGTTTTCCGTGAATTGGGGTTTTTAGCCAGTGCCTTACACGGAAGCATTTTTCCATAGTCTTTGATTGAAACGTAGAAGAATATTGGTGTTTGTCAGTGTTGTTCTAAGTAGGTGTCCTAAACACTGAACCCTCTAAAGGAGAAGTACCTGGGATAAAAGATTTTTCTGCTTTTATTGGAAATCATCAGCATATTTTTTTTTACATGGCATTTTATTAAGAGATTTCTGAGAAGCAGCTTATGGTTAGTTTGTCCCACATAGGTAAGCTAGTTAATTTAATTTCACATATTTTGGTTTAGTGCGGTGAGAACATAGTAGAAAGTAAGATAAAATATTGACTAATTGTTTTTTTAACCTCACATATACAGGATTAAAATATTTTCCTCTTTCTTTTCTGAAATTTTTGTAGCGAGTGGAGAATGGTGACTTCAACTGGATTATTCCAGGAAAATTTTTGGCTTTTAGTGGACCACATCCAAAAAGCAAACTTGAAAATGGTATGGTGTATATTTTATTGTTACTCTGTGACTTATTTTTCCAGCATGTTAAAACATCAAGCAAACGAGCAGAAGATAAGAGGTTTATAGATAGATAAATGTTAGTCTTCAGAAATAGCCATACAATGAGCATTTTAGGTATGATCATAAAACTTAATTCAGAAGGTTTTGGAATTTTTTGCTAGAAGAATTTCAGTTCTTCTAACAGTCAGTGACTTTCATTCTGTGACAAAGTGCCTGAGAAACTCAGGTCCATTACTTTTCTCCTGGAACCTGACACTTGATACAATAAGTATGTGGAACTAAAGGTGAGTTGTGTAAAGCGCAGAGGGCTGTGGTAAGAGTTTTGAAACAAACACCAGGAAAGACTTTAAAAAGAAGCTTGCCTTTACTGCTGAAGATCATTGGGATAACGTGAAGACCTTACGTGATTCTAATGGAACAAAAAAATGAAACTTGACTGCTTGATTGAGGGAGGGAAATTAGAGATTTGGTCCAGCTAAAACAAAAATCAGTCAATTAAAAACTACTATCATATTTTTGATGAAATGAGCCTAATTATTCTTTGTGCCATGTCCCTTTCTTATGTGACAATCCCCCTTCCCCCCCCCCCACTTCTGCTCTCTCATGTTTCCTCTCTAACTGGAATGCTGCCAATTGCAGTGTCCACTGAAGATTTTAACAAAATCCAGGGGGAAAATATTTAGGTTGGTTTAGGTTTCTTCACCAATCACTTTTACAATCCCTTCTTGCAGATTTTTTTCAATATTCACTTACATTGTTCCATGGAATTTGAAAAACCTGTGTTTTATTTATAACGTGTATAACTAAAAATTACTAAATTAACACTAATGCTTAAAATCCAGTGATGAAACTATAAATAAGCCTCACCCAGGTGAGAGTAACAGCATATTACAAAGCTACATTTTTTCTTAATATTGAGACTCTAATTGCATTTACTTATATATATATATATATATATGACTTGTTCTAAACAGCTGTGTTGTGGTGGTCATTGGCCTCCCTCCCTGTCCCCCCATCTTCAGCTAGAGCATCCTTTTTCTCTCAGCTGAGAATCAAGGCAATCGATCTGTTTTACTTCACAGTAGGGCAAGAATATTTCTGGTACTGCAGTTTATCCTCTGCCTTTTCCTCTCATAATACAGATCAGCAATCTATTTTCCTCACAAACATAGTATTTCCTTTTAAAGCATGGTTTTGTTCTTTGATATGCAGCTTGACTTTAGCTAAGCAGCTGTTCTGAAGTGCTGAATTCATATATGTGCCTAGCTTTATGTATAAAACCCTCCTTGCAGAGAGGAATGTGGGCTAAACAGGAGATAACACAGTGTTTGATATACACTGTGCTGTAACTTTTTTCCTCTTGATACCTTTTTTTAATAATAGTGGTCTTCATCAACATTTTGTGGGTGATTTTTTTCTACAACTTAATGTATTTATTCTGAATAAAATGCTGAAACATTTTAGTATTAGCATGTTTATTATTCAGCAGAGGTTTTAGGGGCAATTTTGATTAGTAGGACTTTGAAATTTATCAATGACAATAAATGACTGTGGCTTTATTTTATTTGTAGGTTATCCTCTTCATGCACCTGAAGCCTATTTTCCCTATTTCAAGAAACATAATGTCACATCAATCATAAGACTAAATAAAAAAATTTATGAAGCAAAACGCTTTACTGATGCTGGTTTTGAGCATTATGACCTGTTCTTCATAGATGGAAGCACACCAAGTGACAGCATAGTTCAGAGGTTCCTGAACATCTGTGAAAATGCTGATGGTGCCATTGCTGTACACTGTAAAGGTATGTGCACTTACTCATTTCTCAGATTAAATTCAAAATAAGGAAAAATACATAGAATTTATCCCAGAAATAAAACACTTTAAAAATGACACTCCCTGGTTGTGAAAGCAATATTGCTTTATGGTATTTGACTAAATATATGCCAAATATTTGTTATTTTCATGTGCATACCAATTTCTTTCATCCCACACTTGCTTACAGTAACTGACAATCTATTGTTCATTGTTTTGGGTTTTTTCGTATCACTTGAAAACATGAGATTGAGTTGATGCAGGTTTCTCTTGCATTATGCTTTCACAGCATTATGATAATTGGCTAGGAAATGCAAAAGACTGAAAGGTTTTCTTTGTGCTTTTGGACTGTTCTACATTTTTCTGTGGAGTATGAATTCCACATTTCAAGTTAATGTGAGTTATTGCAATGCCAGCATTTCAAACCAGCCTATTTCAGCAAACCAGACAGAAAACACACAAAACATGCTTAGTCAAGAATGATTAACAAAGGCTTTCAAGGGTTCAGCTTGATCTATGTTTAGAGTTGTGTGAGGACATTGTGGAGATGAATGTCTTGCCAGTCTGAAACAAGAATAATGCTATTAATAATTTTCCCATGAACGATAAATATGCATATCAGAGATAAATAAGTTTGTTTGCTAAGAAGTTGTTACTGCAGCTAGAACCTTGAAATTCTGGCATTAATAAGCTGGACATCTGCTAATTGGCTCAATGAGAGTATAAACTATTGATTAGCAGGAATAGGTTGTTGTTCTCCAGGCTTAGTTGCTAAAGGAATACAATATACTTTCCTAGTGAGTTAGATCTGCACTTTCTATACTGAAGTGGTTTTGGTCTTTTTTCTGACCATTTAATAAGGAAATCAGCCATCTTATGCTTTGTAGTTTTTTACACCCTTCTAAATAAGCCATTGCAAAGTTAAATCAACAGTTAACTCAGGTCTAACTCAGATTGAATGTATTACAGACATATTCCATGCACAGCTTCCACACTTGAAGTTGCTTGTCCCAGAAGTTATAGAATAGTTTAATGCAAAGGATTGTAAGGGAAAGTTTGTACATTAGCAGGAACTTAAAGGAAAGAACTGAAATATTTGAAAGAACTTTGCCTTTTAAATGATTCTTCAGAGATTGTCTTCGTTCATCCAGTCATGGAACCTCACTGTTTGCGACCTTCTACCTTCATCTTTTTACCCAAATCATCCTCACTTTCAGGAAAGTCAGAGGAAGATTTAGTTATTGGTTAGATGTAAAGAGTTTGTAGATGGATATAAAATTGTCAGCAGGGATGTCTGGCTGCTTAGGGAGTTTCCATTTGGATAGTTGTTGGCGCATAAGCAATAGCTGGTCACTGTGAGCCTGTAAATGGCAAATACTGTATTTGTGAGAAAATCAAGTTTAAACTGGGAGGCATTTCAGTGGTAGGTAAGTCACAGGGCTAGAAAGAGATTCATTCTCACTCTATAGTTAGAGATTTCTCTGATAGTAAAAGCTAATGTCTTTCTGTTTTCCCTTTAAAACCAGGATAAGTTTGATTTGGGAGGGCAATGAGTTAAAATATTTTCAGCTATTGAGATATCAAATTATATGCTGGTCAAGGTTCATTTATATAGATAACAGTAAATAGCTTTGTGTTGATTTCACAGTAAAACTGATTCAAAAATCAAACAACCACTGGCTCAGAAAACACATGCTCTCTGTTGTGATGTGTACATGTATTTGCACCTTGATTTTTACCTGTGTGTGCTGGCCTCTCAAATGTACTTCGTGGTTTTTTTACTGGTCTTGTTTATATGAAACTTGTATCTTGTTTGATTATGGCTTTTTTTAAAAACTGACTTTTTTTTAAAAACAAAGTTTGAAGTAGAATTGTTGAAGTGCCATGAGTGATGACTGTTGCATGTGTGGTTTTAAACACTAACTTTTAGTAAGTATGATTATTTGTTGTCACATCTACAGCACTGAAATCAAATTATGTGTTACTGAGTCCCAAATTCAAATACTAAGACAATGAATAAGATGGCATAGAAGCCTTCTTATATCCCATCATTTAAATGGACAGTTCTGGAACGCTCATGATTTATGTGACTGTTGGTGCTTGTGTTTCTGTAGCTGGCCTGGGGAGAACAGGAACGCTGATTGCCTGTTACATCATGAAACACTACAAGTTCACACATGCTGAGGCCATTGCTTGGATAAGAATATGTCGGCCAGGCTCTATTATAGGACCCCAGCAACACTTCTTGGAAGAGTATGTATATATACCTTCTTTACCTCTAGGAATTATCTGCATCTCTACATCCTTATCCATCTAGGACTGTTTATAGGATCTACTTTCTGTCTACTGACATTTGTGTAGTACTGCCTGTTCAATATATTTAAGGGTAGTTAATATGGGTTTGAAATCAAACTTAGCAGCAATCATCTTCTCTGGAGTGCTGTGCATTTTGTCACCTTAAGGGGCAGAGGAGCCTCCAAACTCTCTGTTTTGTATTCTGTGGAATTTAGGAGATCAAGGCAAAGGTGTTGAAAGTGGACAGATGTGGACAGAAGATTAAATAAACAAATAGGGTTTATTAAAATACTAACATAGAATAGATTTTATATACCTTATATATTGTCTATGAGAGAACAATGAATTATAAAAAGGTGTAATTGATAAGTGGGTTTTTTCTGTCTTGTAACGAAAGATTTTAAAAATACTTGATAGACAGCTTATGATCTGTCATATTCCTTAGCATAATGTATGGAACATTCCTGATTTGGAGTTAATAGCTGTAAAACAAATGTATGGTTTTTAATACAACTTCGGGTTTGATCCTGACTTGAAATTACTGACTTATCATGTAGACACTAAGTTTAATGTCCTAGTGATTTCTGTGTTGTGCATTTAGTATTATAGTAGTTATGCTGATATTTTTGAGCTGATACCATGATGATATTTACTTGGAGGTATTTTCATTGTTATGTGAGAAAACATGTTACGCAAATCCACTACAAATTTGTCTCTTTGGAAAAGAAAGAATTCAACAGCTCTGCCACATACTGTGTGAATACAGTAAAACGTGCACTGGCCTTGCATCGTAAAATTGACAAGATATCAGAGAGGAAGAGGTATTACTGTAATTCATAAAAGAAATTGAGCATGAATCAGGATGTTTGTTTATTTCCCTGTGCAACCTTCTGGGCACTGCTGTCTTTCAGAGGTGGCTTTGCCGTTACTCAGAAAACTGAATCACAAACTTTCACAAACCACAAGTGTTCACTGGAGGCAGATTAATTTTCTCCACACCATGCTGATGCTTGGATGATACACTCTTTAATATAACTTGCACAATAGAGCAAAATTACAAGACAGGTAGTAGATAATGCAGTTACTAAGTGCTCTGTAGTTGTAAGACAAGAAAGACAGGGCCCCTGTCTTCTCTGCAGTGGCATATAAAAACTTGGCTTGATTTTACAGATAGGCAAAGATCCTTCAGATTTTTTTTACAGGTACCTACATTATTCATAGCTAGGAGCTGCAGTGTTGTTCAGTAAGAGTTTTGTAATGTCCTAAGGGCAGTAGATACCTGCTTTGACAATCAGACAAAACTCTAGCAATGTCACCAGTAGTGTGAAAATGGGTTTGGGAAAGAACATCAGGTACATCAATCTTGTATAAAATATTTTGCCCTCAGGGCTGCAACGAAAAGGTAAAATCTTGCAACTTTGATCTCCCAACCTTCACAGATGTCAAAGCTTCATCTCTTAGGTTCTTTGAGGTTTAATAAGAGAGGCTTGAGTAGGTTTGTTTTTTCTTTGTAGAGACTCTCCCACCCAAGTATGTATCAAATCAGTTTGTTACTGTGAATGCAATTAATCTTGAAAGATTTCAAAGGTATTTAAATTCAAGCATGTTTTCTAGGCTATTTCTGTTAGGTGGAAGAAGTGGCACTCCCTCTCCCCCACCCGTTTGTTCTGCCTTCTTTTGATGTTTTCTTGGGATATAGTGAGATTTTTCTGGAAGTGCTTAACTTCCCCATTTATTATTAAGTAAGTTTAGGCAGTTGGCTCGGATGACATTGGTCTTAAGCTTTGCTATAGTATTTTGTTTTCAAAGAAAATTTTCCAGTGAAAGTATATTTTGATTTAATTCCTCATTTTTTTTTAATCCTCTGTTCAGTATAGGAATTTAACTTTATTTCAGTATTATGCAATGGTGTCTCAGTTCTGGGATGGAACTAGTGTGACTACTACCTACCCAGCCAACTGCCTTATCCAAGGAATAATACAGTCTCAGCCACAAAAGTCTGCTTAGTCCACACACAGTGTAGCAAATAAATTATCTTTTTACCACCTGTCTGAAAGAGATAACCCTTCATTTTCTGAAAATTGATATTAGAGTCCTGTTCAACTTTACATGACTATGACCATTGCCATTGCACACATCAGCTGTAGTTTTACTGCAGTGTCTCTATACAGAAAACTCATGTTGTGAGTTGCAAACTGCTATATCATCATTTGTGCTGCACGTGATGTATCTAAAAGCATTATTTTTTTATTATTTTTTAGGTTGTGTTTTAAAAGCTTTTAAAATACTATTGCAAAATCCTGTTTCCCAGAAAATATAAAATGAAGTTTTAGTGCTTGTAGTATTTCTGTCATGACTACAGACTTGTTTGGTGGTTCTAGAGTTTTTGGTTGTTGTTTTTAACCATTGAATACTTTTTTATTTGATGATAGACATTCAAATTTTTTCCAGATGAAGATGTAGGGAGGATTCAAATGTTGGCAACCTGTAAGAGTAGCATGTTTTCATATTGTTGTTTTATATGTATGCAGATTTGTTGATGTGAGTTGGTTTGGTTTTGTATCCCAAAGGAAGCAAGCAATGTTATGGCTGGAGGGAGATCTCATCCGATCAAAGCAGAAACAGCGAGTCGTTGATGGAAACATTAACAGAGTACTTCGTGGCTTGAATGACATTTCCATCAGTGACAATTTGAATAAAGTACAAGACTTGGACCAATACAGGGAGGTAAGTGCTCTTGGGAAAAATTCTAAACAGATTGAAGCTGATCTTTTAATAGCTAGCTATGAATGATTTTTGGTTTCTAGGCTTGTATTAGTATCAGATTGCTTTTTCTCAGATAAACTTTATATATGTCATAATTAGAAGAAATCTGCACTTTAAAAAAGGTTATGTTTAAAGCTGTTGTAGATAATTTTGCAAACTTCAGAAGGTTTGCATTATTTCGAGTCATTCTTTCAGAGTTTTCAGTTGTTTATTTGAGAATGAAGGAAAACAAAACATCAGCTTTCCTTCCTATTAGTTAGAAACTTATTCCAAGTTTCTAGTTAATCATATATGAGTATATAGATGTCCATCCCTTTATCACAGTGTTATGGGTTGGTAAGGTGATGTGTACATTTAGGGTGTATCTCAAAATTTTGTGTTACTTCTTTCCTCCACTTTGATGATAACGTTAACCTTAGTTGTGAAGAAAAGAGCTGAGGTTTATGTTCCATAAACCCAGACTGGCACTAGACTTGAGCATCCTGAACTGACTTTGAGGTCACATTCTGTGAATGTGTGTTAGTACAGTGACACGTTTAATTTGCTGGAACTATGCAGAGAGTAGTGCCCCACATATGTAGAAGATGTAGATTAGCCTTTTAAATTTTAATCTTTGTGAAGGAGATGTTCAGTACTTTGAAACTATTCTGCTCCTACGGGTTTGATGTATTTCCTACCTTGCATACTTTTGTGTTTCCCAGAATGATTTTGAAGACAAAGCAGATGTGGAAACTCAGAATGGCATGACACAGGGAGATAAGCTTAATGCCTTAAAAAGTCGGAGACGGCCTTGTTCTGCTACGACTGGAGCACTGAGGTAAGGACATCATTTTGAGGTAATTTGCAATTTTAAATTCAGCCCATGCTGTCAGATCTGTGTGGCAAGTACATGATCTTGTTTAAGGCAGTGGTACTAGTTACACCACATTCTGTGGTGGAAATTTCTCTAGGTATATATGTATTAGCTGTAGATATGGTTTATGAATTTTTTCCTCTCCCCCATCTTTTCCTATATAGCAGAAAAAGATTAAAAAAAAAGCAATTAAATTTATATCTATCTAGCATTTTAAAACTTAAGACTTGAACAAAATATTCTTCAGACTTACTTGTCTTTCTGTAATTACTTTTCTGTACTCCTTATATAAATGTGGAATTTTTCAGAATCAGTAAAAATGTGAACTGTAAAAATAAATCTGAAATACCTCTCTGTTATTTAGCTGTAGATTAAAACAATGACTGTCAAAAAGTCTTAACTCTTATTCTTGTACTTCAGTTATGCTTTGGCTGAGGGGAAAGGTTTTTTATCCTTGGATTAAAATTGCTCCTTTTGTTTCTTTAGGCTGCAAGACGTGAAATTGCACACCAGGTCATTATCACAACCCTTCAGGTATTAACTTTAAAATTCCAGTTCTAAATGTAGACCACTCGACTTGAGTCTTAATTTTCAGTGTTTTGGATTATAGTGATCACATCAATTGATTAACAAGCTCAGACTTCTGAGAATAGGCAGGCAAAAAACTTCTTTAAACACCTGCAAATTGCATCCTTTATACTGTTGCATCTGAAATACAGCATGTAAGACAAAATATTGTTATAAAGTATTTAATAATAAAAATAGCACAATGTTTTCAGTTTCAGTTTTGTGACCTGGGTTTTTGAATTGGATTACTCCATATGGTTAACCTTGGAAATGTCTATTTTAGTCTTTCTTGGTGTGTAATTAAAGCTTCTTCTGCTCAATGTCACTCCTCCTGTGCTTGTAGTCTGAGACTTGTACTCAAGTTCTTTCATCCTTTAAGATTTGATCATGATAATATCCCTGGTCTAATAATGGAGAAAATTAATTTTTTAATGAACTAATATGGACAGCTATAGTGGTAACACTTTTGAGTACTCCAGTGTAACATACATACAGCTCATTAGCAAAACATGAAGAATTTGGTCATCAAGAGGCCCAGAAAGAGCTGTATGTTCTGTGCAACTTTGTGAAAACGTTCGTGCTGTCATTTGAAAATGATGATGACCTCTTTAAAGCTAGTGTCATTTTTTCTACTCATACATATATTCTCAAATTTACATTTAAAATTTAAAATCTACAATAAATTGAAAAAAATGGACACTTGGCTGTCATAAATTATCAGGGTGAAAACCTTTAGTTGTATAATAAGGTACAGCAGAGGAAATACTTAGAGTGGGACATTGGAAAGTTTCTTTTTTAAAAGATACTGAAAACAGCAAACTGTTGAATTTTTGCTCTTGAGTTCTCAGACTTGAGAATTCCCTCTTTTTAAAAACTAGTCTATGCTATTGGAAGACTGTATGTGTTTGAGATATTTGTCTGAATTGTAAAATCTTGCTTCTCACTAAAACTCTGCACTCCTTTTAGACTGAATACTTCAGGCAGCACAGAAGGATCCATGTCTCCTCTGAAGGCCTCCAAAGTGATGGCAGTTAATTCACCCTCTGCAGAAAGAATAAGCAGACTTTCCACGTCCTCAGGCTCTAATCTTAAAAGGTGGTTTTTTTCTTTTCTTTTTGGTGCAAATATTTACTGTATACTACAGTGGTAATTAGCACACGTGCAGTCTATGCAGCTCTTGCTGTTCTTGGGTGTAAGAAGGCTTAAATTTACTTACAAAGTGATTAGCTGTTCCACTAGCCAAATTTTAGTTGCCAAATTTTACAGTTGCTTGTAGATTTAAAAAACAAACCAAACCCTGTATTAATAGTCTGAGAGTTTTGTTGGGATTGTGTTGTCAGAAACAGTATTACATAGCTCAAGTTGGTTTGTTTGGTTTTCATGTACCAGAAATGTACAGACATTTTGCAAGTATTCCCACAAGCCTATATAGTATTACTCTCAGAAGAATACTGAGTAGTAATTAATGAGATTTTTATGAACCCTTGATTTATTGCCGTTTAATTATACTATTGCTATTGTCCTAGGTAATTATGGTTATTAAATGAAATTTAGAATGATTGATGCATTTTTAATAACTCTGGGCACAAATATTTACCTGAAGAGAGTAACTAATTTGAGATATTTCAGGATACTCTACTTTTATTCTCAAATTTTATCACATAAATTCTTAGTTACTTGAAGATTTGTATCATGATACTGATTTCCAGAACCAGAAGAGCTCTTAAAGTGTAACATGTACACAAATGTACTTCAGTGTAGATCAGACACTGCCCAAACCTTTTAAAACAATCTCCTGCCTGTGTGTATGGTTTGACAGAGGTGAGTGCAGGCCATGCTAGTGCTTGAATAAGCAAAATTTGACCAAGAATTCTGCTTTTCATTACTTGAGAGCTAGATGAGCCTGTGTGCAAGCACGAGTTATTTCAGAGTGGTCTATGTTATTCACTTAATGTCTTCTGAATTGTCTATTACATTTTTGTATATATACCTACATACCTTGTGTATATTTTTTTTCCCTGCATGTGTTTTCCATTCAGCGTTTCCATAAACTCCAGACTAGCCAGTTCTCTAGGGAACCTGTATGCTGCTTCAGATGATGATGAGAGCAAAATGACATCCTTGTCCTCTAGGACAGGTTTTTCTGTAAGCCATATCTCCAGTCACCTGAATGGCAGCTTGCAGCTGCCACACAGAAATAACCATGAACTGAACAACAACTTATACAACAGAAACAGCAGTAGTGGCAACAACCTGAGCAGCCAAAGCAGTTTTCACAGCACCGTGACAGATGAGTACGCATCAACCTTCCTTTATGGGCCTTACAGCTCCTCCAGCACCATACCAGAGTCAATTAATTCCTGTAAGTTCATAGTCACAACAGCACTTTCAGGCATCTGACTTGACTGATGCTTTTCTTCCTTGCTTCTGTGAGCAAAGCTGTCGCAAAAAACCTTTACTCAGCATAATTCTGACTTCCTCTGACGTTTCTGAACAGCACCTTTACCTTTTTACGTTATTATCATTTCAGCTGCTTCATTTCCATCTCTTTTAAGCATCTAGAGCATGGATGGTTCATGAAAGTAAATCACTTCTGAACTTCAACACCTTTTCTCATATCTTTTTATGGACTTTCTTAGTCTTTATATTTTTTGTTTCAAATTATCCATAACTTAGTTTATAAATTTATTATGTAACTTTAAATCTGTTACTGCATGGAGATGAAGAAGCCTTTGTACGTGTAATACTAAATAGAAGGTACAACATCATTAAAGGTAGGGCTTGTTTGAAAGATTAGTCCTCTCGACTTGAAACCTAGTCCTTTTCTAACAGCAAATGTGAAGAGTATTTTAGAGCAAGTGATTCCTGTGGTCTCACATTTTAGCTTTCATTTCTCAACAGCTTTGCTGCCTTGGCCTGATTTTGTGCTCTTTTTCTGGGTGAAAGATGCTGTATAGAGAGGATGCACAGATACATTAATGCAGCTTGAAAGTAGTTCTATACAAAATGCAGAGAAGAGAGAATAGAGAAACTTCAATTATGAATTTAGAAACATCTATTCTAGAGAAAAAATAAGCAAATCTACTACTATAAATCTAAAAGCAACTTAAAATACCTGATCTCCAAAGATTTAATATCCTACTAATTATAAAAATTAATGCAGTGTTTTTAATAGACTGTATTGCCTGCAAGTAATTGAACCTCTCAGTCTCTGTTTACTAGTACTGACACTTCTGATTTTTACTTGTTTAGCTGCTGGAAATAAAATTGGCTTCGTGTAAAATTAACTTGAGAGTACTGCACCCCTCTCTCCTGTTTCCTTACCACTGATAAATTGTTTCAATATAAAAAAAGTTTTAGTGTTGTGTGCTACTGTTTTTGAGTGTGGTGATTGCATGTAACTAGGATGTCAGCTGAAAAGATCCAAGGGTTGTGTTCCCTTTTTCCTGCAGAAGTGGAGGACCTACCCTCTTGTTAACAGCTAGGATGTGCCACCACTTACAGTTCTGAAGCCACTTGTTTACAGCTTGGGAGTATGAACTGCACTTTCTGAGAATAGATGACAGTAGGAAATAAATTCTGATTGTTTCACTGTATTATTAAATTGCATGTGTGACTGAAAACTACCCTGTATATAAAGTACATTGACAATGAAGTTAGTTGAGGAAACATGATTTGGTATTCTCTTATTAAAGTCAATGGATACTTCCTACTATGGTAGGATGTGCCTGACTTAAAGCAGCTCTTTAAAATACTTGGTGCTTTCAGAGTCCTTGTTTGAAAAGCACATTTAGCTACTTATTATCTGGAAAGAAGTGCTAAGTGTTCTGCATTGAGTTAAAATTGGAGTTTAAACTTTACTTTGAACAGCAGCAGTAACTTGTTTGCAAGGGACTTCCTGAATATTGTGACATATGTTCAGGTTTTTGAAGTTGTTTCACCTCTTTAATTTGACTGGTTTTTTCCTGCAACATGGGACTGAGGTAAACAGCATGTAATAGAGATTTTTTTCAAGTTGGACATAGAAAGCATACCAGTTTTTCTATGATGAAACAAGTTCGAGAACAAGAGAACTGTTTTAGTTTAACTAATTGGGTTAATTCCTTCTGGCATAGAGATGAGGAGAGAGGTGATGAGCTGTATAGCAAGCTGGGAAGGTTTGTTTTGACACACATCGATTAATCTTTGATTTGTTCATGAATTCTGCTTGCTCTGGATAGTCATCCTTTCTGGGTGTTCCCAGTCTTTAATCCAACATTTTTAGACACATTCAGTCCTCAGGAGGACTGACAGAGGCTCCAGTTGAGCATACTGGAACCAAAGTCAGTACATCATCCATGGTAGAGAACAATCAATCATCTGCATAACTAAGTGTTCAAGTGTCTAATTTGATTCTTTTTTATTTTGTATTCCTCACTTTCAATAGCCTCATGTTTAATGTATTGAACAATGATTCTTTGAGGAGTCAACCCATTCCCATTCTTTTCAGTTGCACTGTTTGTAAATTATATGCTGCCAGCAGCATTTCTGAGAGGTTTTTTCCATATTCGAGTTACAGCTGCATATTATGTGTAACGGAAATGCATGTAAACCAGCACACAGAGTCCTAAGGGCAGGAACACCTTGAAACTGTAATGTGACTTAGTCAGGAAATAAGCTGAAAATGGTCCAGAAGTTACAAGACCGAGTGATAATATAAACCATTACAGAAACAATAAGTACATTTCCTCAAACAGCTTAAAAGGCTGAATGACAATATAATGTTAAAAACTAAGAACTGCCATCGCCTTTGGATGCTACAAGTAATTTTTAACAGTGAAAGCAAAGTTAGAGGGCTTGTTCCATAAGCACAGGCTAAGAAATTAAGTGATGGTGACATTTCTTCTTTTTTTCCATCTAGATATTTACAAAATTCTAGGTTAGCACCATGTTTCTTTTTAATTTCATAAATGCTCAAGGTTCATTATAATGGCATTGACACAAAAATTCCCCAAAATTACATGGGGAGAGGAGGTGGTTTTACAGTAAAACTGTCCCTTCCAGTATTGTAGCATGCCTTTCCTTCTTAGATAAGCATGACTTAGGAAAAGGGAGAAAAGCAGGGAATGTTGATTACTGCTTACTTTAAGGAAGAAGAAAGGAGCAATTCCTGAACCGGTGAAATAGCCACTTTGAGAGCAGAGAGGGACTTAGAGATATGTGCATTGTGCTGAAAAGGGAAATTTATTGTTGGCTCCTTGCAATAGAACTAATAAGTGACTTGAAACAGTGATTTAAGTGAAATATTAGGCATAGCATAAAAGTTTTAGGTTGAATGGGAAACGTTTTGGCAGAAAAAAATAGCTTTCTAAAATGCACATTTCTCCTGTATTAAGAACATCTTTTATTTTGTTCCTGCCTATCATGCTGACTTAGTAATGAACGGAAGGATGTAAGGGTGTAACCTCTGAATAATTCTTGGCTTGATGTCTTTAAATGAGATTCTATATCCAGTCTTCAGAGTGAAGTGAGAGAAAAAGGACTTTATATGTTGTGATGTGAGAAGCAGCGTTTTTTAGAAAGAATCATGTGTAGCAAAGTACAAGTTTCTGATTTACATGTCAAGTAATATTTTTTCAATATAATAATGGTTTAAAATTTTTCCTGTATGGAACATGTTTTTCAAACATGTTCTGATTGATGCATTTGCTTCTAAATGTACCATATGACCCTGGGCATCTCTCACAGTCACAGTGGAGTGCATTAAATTGTGACCTGGCTATGCACAATTGACTCATCTGAGTGCAGTTGCTGTGATGTCACGATGTTTAAGACAAGAGTAGATTATTTGGTCACTTCATCTCTGAATGTTTTTCTGTCTGGTAGTGAGCATCTCACTGGCTAATACAGATGGTTTATTTTGAGGACAATGATTTTTCTTGATGACTAGTCCCACTGATTCAACACAGTCATGCTTAGAACTATGTCACTTTTAACCTGAAACTTTCTGTATATCTTCATTCTGTCACTGTTACAGTCCTTCATTACCTTATTTTCTTGTCATGAAGATATCTCATGTTTAGTCATCTCAACTTGATTTGATAAGCTAAGCTGGCTCAAAGATCCTTTTGGAAAGCTTTTCAGATTCTTTAGTTTTTGAAAATGTTTTGGTCCATAAAGCTGCTCCTCAATGCTGTCCTGCTATAAATCCATTGTTTGTGTTAGCTTCTTTAACTGTAATGGCACTGGGAGTTGAGGGGCAGAGGGAAAAAAAGTTCTTGCCATCCAAGATATTAACTTGTATTTCTTGCATTTTAGTCCAATGTCCTGTAGTCCCTGTTAGGTTTTTTTTCATGTGGAACTCTGTGGAAAAGCATCTCTCTTTTTTCCACCTCCTGACTCTCCCCTCTTTTCAAATTAACCAGCCAAGGAAGATTGTTTTGTCTTACCACTTCAACCACTGACATCCAGCTCTTTTCCTTCTGGTGATATTCATCAGTGGTCTGAAGCTCATGAGCAAAATACAGGGTAGCATCAAGCTTTAATGCCAGTTCTGGCAGAATTCTGTTAAAAACAGGATTCTGTTTAATGCTTTCCACTTCACTGCTTTAGATGTTGAAATTACTTGAAAGTCTTGACAGCCAAACCTTAGTCTTGTGGCAGTGAGTGTTTGTGTTACATTGCACTTTGTTCTAATTGGAGCACATCAGATAATGCACCTGACAGAAGTCTATTACATATACTGGTGCTTTATGTTTATTCACTTAACTTAGCTCATTAAAGGACTCTTGAATGGTACTGATTAATTCCCTTTCTTTTTATTGGCAAGATCTCCCTTACCTGAGTTAGTTATGAAGCTAACCATCTGTAATCATGTTGATACTCCATTTTAGAAAATCACTGGATCAGTCTTATTTGCCTTTCAAAGTTTAACGATCAACACGAGTGGTGCAGGAGCATTTTAAGATGGTTAGGACAGTAAATTTTCAGTTCAATTTATGTTCTGTAATCTCTTTAGTGAGGAAATTTGGAATTTTAATTTTATGAAAGTACTTTTTTTTTCCTCAGTATGGAAGAGAACGTTATTCACTACACTTTTTTTTTTTTGATGTTTTATAATGAAACAGCATATCAATGCTGCTATTCCACATTCCATTAAAAAAAAAGAACAAAAAATAATCATGTCTATGACTTCTTGTTGTCAGCTATATATATTTTCCCTAATTGTTTTTGTTCTTCATCAGTGCAAGCTTATAATCCACTTTTTTATTGTATTTATGGTGATGAACTAGAAGAAAAGCTTGATTTTCATAGAATAGCCAACTTGCTATCCTAGCCAAATAGGTAAATATTTTATTTGCAGATGTTAGGAACTGGTTGTTTTGATTAAGCAGAATATCTCACAATGGTAATTTCCAGGATTATTCTTTTCAAGTATAATCACAGTTCAGGTACTGCAATAAGATTTCTACTTTGTTCTTACAATAGTTCTAAATCCAAATATCATTCTTGAAAATGTATTTTTATTGGAGAATGTGTAACTGGGTAAGTCTTAAGATGAGTCACCTTTTGCTTCTATAGCTGTCATGGAAACTGGCAAGATGGAAACATTTCAAAAAACTGAGAAGTGTAGCAGGATTTTAAAATTCATATACATCATCTTTATACCTGTAGAACAGTTTTTCTTAGTAAGAGCTTACCTTTAATGCATCCAGGACAGCCTTTGCAGAAACAGAGGAAAACACCAGTGCAGCTCAATGATGTGGATATTCAGCAGACTCCAAGGGTCACTTCACCTGTATGTGCATTTTCCATAATACACCCTGAGTTACTTTACTCCTGTTTGCAGCAGTGTTTTGGGAGACTTGATGCACAATTCAATTGCCAAAATGGCCAAATATTCAATTGCCAAAATTTATCTGGCAAAAGTGCACATTCAAATCCTAACAAATACCTCTAAATGCTACTCCTAAAAGTTAACTCATGGCTGACTTGGTCCTGAAGTTGAATGTATGCAAATAATTCTAGTGCCTAGGTGGATCTGTTGCTTATTTTCTCTTCCAGCAGGCTTTCCATGCCTCCTGTTGAAGAAGAAAAATAGTAGTGATCTAAGCAGATGCTTCAGCCTGATCTCCTTAACTGTAGTGAAGTTACCTTAGTTCTTTAAGTGTCTGACACTTGGGTATAAAGTGCCAAGCCTGACCTGGCATGGGACCACTGCAGGAGTACAGTGAGACTTCTGCTCCAGTAACTGATTTTATACTCTCGTCTCTGCAGTTCAGCAGTCAATTTTCTTCAGTTTTTTTCCTTCTATTTTTACCTCTATTTGAAATAAGATTTTGTTAAATCCAGCATATGACTTGTAAAAGTGGATTGGGGCTTTTTGTTTGTAATAAAGCTTTCAGACTCACAGGCCATACTTTGAGTCACGGCAAATGTAAATTTTAAAATAGAAAACTCCTGAAAAGATTTTTAAAAAAGGAGGAAAAAAAAATCACAATTACAGGCTTTGAGACATTACAGTCAATCTCTTCAGACATGTGAAGAGATTTAACAGCACAAAGTACTTCTCTGCAAAAAAAAAAAATCCCAAACCAACAGTCCTCCCCTGCTATATTTTAATTTTTCAAACTCAAAAATGAGTCTGCATACTTTACAACATCTCAGTTGTTATGGCTATCACCATGTTTTTAGTGGTAGAACTGTATGTGAAGTCACATAAATTTATCTGAAGAAATTGCTGCTTAGATTTACTTATTCCCCTCTATTTAGAAAAGACTTTGAAACATTAGGAAGAAATCATTGCTATGTGAAGTCAAGTTATGATGAGGGTGGGAACACACTGAAAAACTTACTTCTCCATTTGAAAAAAAATAGAATAGCCCCTGCCTACCCCTCTGTAATGAAAATTAGCAAACATGCTACCTTGTTTCCAAGCAATCTGTGCTGCTGCACATCTGTTCTTTTTAATACGCTCCCTTAATTTTTTCCATATTTTGTAACTTGGATTGCAAACCATTTTAAGAATTAGAATTTAAACTTCAGAATCTTTATGGTTTGCTTGTTTATTTCAATTGCAATATAGAATTCCTGGTTACTGCTGCCTGCTCAGTGAAGGACTCATGTTCATAGTTGTGTGTCAACTAGCACTAGCTGTTCTTGAGACCACCAGGAATGTACAGGGCTTTCTGGTCATCTTTCATCTGTCCAAGCTTAAAGTAATCTATTGCTGTACAACAGATCAGAGTATATAATTAAATTTCATGCTTTTTTTAATGTTTGTTAATAGACTTTACTTGGAATTCAGTTTGATGGATCCATTTCAAATCATGCTCTAAGTGTAACCATCTTTCCAGTTGTTAAAATACACCTCTGAAAATCAGAAACCTTTGAGGATCATTAAGTGGGCAGCAGTTTCAAGTGCTCATTAGTCAAGGGCTAGTCCTTCTGTCTTGCTCTTACTAAAACCAGACCCTTTTTAGTCAGTGGTATTCAAATCTGCTGGCAGTACTACTTCTTCAGCCTAGGAAAGAATATCCAGATGGTCACAGATCTTCAAGATGTGAAAATGCATTTGAAAGACAACTTTGGAAATATACACTGAGACTTTAGATACAGGGGAGAAAAAAACAGTTTTGTGACATTAGTTAGAGCACTAAAAGAGGTTTACATATCTGTCATGCACTTGTACTAATAGGTTGCACTGTGGGTGCCAAAGAGCATTTCTGTAGTGACCTAGTAAGAAATACTGGGAAAAGGGAAGAGTCTGAGGTTCTGATCTGTCTCATGACTCATGTTGGTCTCCAGTAGTTCTTCCTAATCCTGGTGAATTTTTTTAAATACATTTGGGGTTTTCCATTTGCTATTTGTTTATAACCATCCTAGGTACAGTGAAGAGCTCTCTCAGATAAGACTTACTATTCATCAGAACTACTTCCCAAGCACATCTGTAACATTTGGATACTGTCTAAACTCATAAATCAGTTTTTTAGTAAAACCTTAGACTTCAATAGATGCAGAAATGTAAATAGATACAGCAGATCAGGTCTTCTTTTCCTCTTAATTATACTGATTTCTTACTAATCCAGATGAACCATTTGCAGTGCATCATTTTCATCTGGTTTTAGTAATCATCCGTAAATTTATCCATGTGCATAATTGTGCTGCTGTAGCTTTTTCTCAGTTATTAGCTACACCATATGCTTCCTATACCATTATCTGAATCAACATCTACAGTATGCTGTGTTTTTACAGTAACACTTGGATTCTCAGACAGGATAAATAGAAACAATTCAGTGTTAGTAACAGTAATCATATGTGTTCCCAACACGTTTTTAAGGTATTTTAAGGTGGTGTTTTAAAGGACTTGTAACACTTTCTTCGGGGATCTTGAGAATTTAGTTTGGAAAAGTGTAGATACAGGAAAGTTGATGGACTTTACTGTATCCAGATTTTACTTTCTTTTATTTGTCTTTACCTACGCAGAGATTCAGATTCCTCTCCAATTTATTTTATTTTCCTTCTTCCTCTCCTTCCTCTACTCCTTAAGTGAAAGATACATGTTATATACAAATATAACCTCTCCAGTGAGTTTTAATTAGTTTTTCTTCTCTGCACAGTCCCTTCAGTCTGAGTATGTTCAGTACTAAAGCTTTGCTGCTTTGGTGAAACCTGCTGAGCTCTGCAAATCGACGTCCTTTATGGAGGAGGAGAACTGAAGGAAAGCTGCTGCTCACTAGGAGGAGGAATCTTCAATAGGAGAAGTATCAAAACCTTAATACCAAGAGGAGACTTCTTAACAGGCAGAAATTTCTTGTTAATGACTACTCTAGATGCACTGATGTTGAATTTATGGAAATTATTATACCATGTTATATACAAATTTAAATTTTTTTATGTTGAGACAGCTTGAATATATTTCTAATGAGTTTCATTAAGACATTAACTTGTGTACAGTGTTAAAATATGTATTAAGAGAATATTTTGGTAAACTATATATAAAAATTATGTAAAAATTAGAATATATTTTAATTTAGTGTCCACTTTGCTACAAAAATATATTTTAAAGAGTTTGTACATGTTTATCAAAGATATAAAAAATTTTTACGAACAAGATGTTTTTCTTGTTTTATGGGTCCATCATTATTGCTTAAAGCCTAATGTAATTACTTTTTTACTAATTGTTCTGGTAACTGAATGGAAGTCTAACTAGTGAGAGACTAGTTACTACACTATCAACTCAAAGCACTTGTTACACAGTCTGCTTTCCGCTGTCAGCTGCTAATGTTTCTTCAGGAAACACTGAAGGAAAAATAAGGGAAGATACTTGTTGATATGTGATGTAATTACATCTGTTACTGCAGAGAGAAACTAATTTATGTGATGACTCAATTGTACAATTAACACTTTGTTTCAATTTGTCTTAAAGGAATGTTTTAACTTTTCATTTTCAATGTAGAATGTTACATTTTGCTATGCAATATATACAGCAAAAATGAAGACAGACCAAACTGAAGTTGGTAAGAATGTACTTGTACAATGAATTCGGCAGCACTGCATATCTGCATGTTTTTAAGCTACATTTGGCAGTATGTGTACAATTTCCTTAGCAACACACACTCAGTGTTGGAAGTTATTAAATTTCCATTTAGCGATTGGATGCTTCATTAACCTTTGAATTTGTTGTTAAACATATAGCTGAGGTAACCTCCTGTATCACAGAATGTGCTTGGCAGCAGTAAAGATACTCTGTAACACAGAGTTCAGTCAGGAATGAAGTGATGTTACAGTGAGCTACTAGAGATGATGTGTAAAATTTTCAGAACTCCACAAGTGCATAGTAAGGAAAGTGTAAGCAGCTGTGAGGGCTGGATTTGTCCTTAATTTAGAAGATTAAAACAAAACAGGTTTGTTACCTATTAGTTTTTCCAATATCTACAGAAACTTGAAAATAAAACTTGGCTGAATTGTCAGCCTTTGTTCCTGAAGCCCCGTGAGTTCCCTGTGTTTGCTTACAACTGAAGTTCAGATGAAGTGCCACATGATTTTTATTTTTTTTAAAAAAAAATCAGATCACAAATTGCTATGGAAAGTTGTACTGAAAGGGTTAATAAGCAATCCTGAGAGCAGCTATAAAAATCACTGAATAAAATTTACATGCAATAATGTACATTTTTTTCAACTGTGTATATGTAACATATACACACACAAAGTAGCATATGTGTGTGCATATATATACAATATGCTGTATATGAATTATAGATTAATGGTAAGGTAATTCTACCTCTTATAAAGACTTTTCTCATGTACTTTGTTATAAATAGTTTTCCTTAATAAAATACTGATTTAATTTTGAAATGTAGATATATATATATACATGCAGCTAATTGATAATAAAATGCTCATATTAGCCAGCTTTTGTTTCTTGTTTTTTCTTATTTAGATCTTTTGATGTAAACTAATGTGATTTGATCTCGAAGATACCTCTTCAAGATCACTTTCTTCTAAGGCATATAATCTATTTTATAAGTAGGATGATGTTGCAAAGGATATTAGCATGATAGATACCTTTTTTTTTTTTCTGACTGATCTAACTAACCTTCTTGTATTTGCTTAGTGTAATATCAGGTATTTAATCAACATGGTTATATTTCAAAATACCATAATTTAAAAGCTGGGTCTGAATTGAGGACGAGGTCCCTTGTTAAAGGTGTAAGATGTCTTGTCTCTTCTGCACATGCAACAGGTTTCTTAGTCCCACCACCAGCAGGATCTCTTTGTCCATAAGAATCTAAACGACCATGCTTTCATTTAGCATTTTGTCCTTCCTTCAATTAAAAACTAGTCACAAGTGTTTCTAACATTGTTTAAGTCTGTTGCTGATTTTCAGCAACTTTGTTGCATTGCATGCTTATTTTTCTACAGTGCTTAATATTCTGGTGAGATCAGTCTGTGCTGCAACAGATTATGTGGACAGTGTGTAACTGTTACTTAGCCACTCCAAAGGAACAGCAAAGCCAGGAATAGATGCTTTAGAGGTTGCCCAAGTTCTAGACAGTCCAATCTAAAAACACAATACGAGGCTTCTGCCACTGCATTCAGATGCAAAACGGATGGTGATTTGCATGTGTAGAGTAAATATAAAGGAAAAACTGCTAATTTAAAAGTTTCTAGTACATAGGTATCAACCTCTCCCTTGGCCTTTCTCTGGAATTCCTTAGATTTATTATATGAAATACATAAATGCCAGATAAGGTAAAACTTTATTTGTTCTTTGAAATGAATTATAAATAAGCCAATATTCTGCAACAATTACCTTCACAACAAAAAATGTGGGGACAGGGATAGGTCAGGGAGGTCTTTCAGGACCTTGTAGCTTTCAGGGAATACCCTGAAACATTTTGTATTCTCTGTTCACCTATCCCTGGACTTTGCCATTTGTGTCCCTTCACATATAAACACATCTTGTTCTGGGAGAACGAGCTGTAGCACATGACATCCTCAAAACCAGGTTTGATAAACATGAAAGGATGGATTAAATAAATCTAAAGGTCTCTACTGGGCCTGTCATTCTGTGGCTAACATCTTATGAAACTTAATCATCTCTTTTTAAAGTATGCTTTATGAAGCTTTTTGGTTAGGAAGATAGTTCTTGTTACAAATTTAGAGAATATTTTTCAATTACAGTACTGCAGAAAGAGGAGGATTTTAGTTTCTATAATAACTGTTCTTTACTGACAGCTAAACAATGAAAGGCCTCAAAAGGTTTGACACTTGATTAGATCTACACAGTAAAGTGCAGCAGGCAAAAAATATGATAATTAAGGGCCTGATCAAGTAAATCACTCAGGTATGTCTTTAACCTCAAGCACATGAGCAATCTAATTAATTAAAAGAGTACATAGATATTCGTGTTTGTAACAAATCTACTTTTGGATCAATAGTTCTGTCAATTGCAAACATGAGCCTTTGTGTCAAATAAAAGATGTGCTGTATTGCCAGAAAACAATCCATTAACCACACAAACTAACTTTGTTAACTTAAAAAAATGTATATTGTAACTATAACTACCTCTTAATATATTATTTTGGTATTTTCATATGTTAACATCAGGAGTTTAACAATGTCTAAAAATACCTTAGACAGATACCTTTGGTCCATATACAGATCATACCTTACGTGCAGAGATTGCTTCTGTAACCTACATACAACCTACCTGTAAAAGCAGCTTTTCTCCTAAACTTAGCATAAAATTAACCAGCATTCCATTTCTGGAAAATATTTGAGAGGAAATCTAAGTCCTTTGACTGAGTTTCTTATTAAATCTTGTCCAGGTAAGGGTAGTTAAGATTTTGTCCCTGTTTGGGTAGAGTTCCTGAGAGAATGCCACTGCTAATTATTCTGTTTGAGAATAGATTGTTAATCTCTTCGACCAGTTTTCAGTCGACCTGACAGCCTGTCATTCGTGTCTGCAGGAACTAATTTTGGTGTGAGACCATTTCAAATGCTACTCTGATTCTGTGTTACCTGTGTACTTACCAACACCAGTGTTCACCTCCAGCAGGTTGGTGGTGGAAATGTAAAATGTTTAGATTGAGAACCAGGTTCCTCAAATAAGTATCATCTTACCACAGATCAGTGTTATCTATTGTGCTTGAAAGACTTAAGTTGAAAAGTATATTGTTACTATAGACCAGTTCTAAAATTAAGCTTGCAGAAGCATAATGAGCTTTCCCCTAACAAAAATAAGATCAGAAAAATCGGTTTAAGTGAGTATCTAGCAGAGGAGTTTCTACAGCAAATAGATTGAATTTCAGGCAGAAGTGACTGATACTGGTTGGAAACCTTGCTTCAAATGAAACTTGTATAAATGGGTTAGAACCAGCAAACTGGCAAGGCAAGGAGGAAAGAGTCAGACTGTGTAGTTGGAGTATTTCTGGAGCGTGATAGGGTTTGGCTTTTTTTTTTTTCCCCTTGATTTAACAAGTTGAAAATCTGCTGAATAATTCATGAAGAGTGGAAGGGCTGAATCTTCCTGGAATGATATACAGCGTACGTACTGTGGCACAGGAGGAACTGCAAAGCTTTGTATCAGTTGCTGCCGTTTCTGCTGCCGATTGCAAGGTGCTGCTGCTTTTGGTATTTTCACAGCTACAGAAACCTCAGTCGTGCTCGGGTCTGCCAACAGCCGTTTGCCTCCCTACGGACACACCTTACTAGCTACAATCCGTGGCATCTCTTGCTACCTACCTGCCTCGCAAACTGCCGTTCTCCGGATCGTTACCGCAAACTGCTTTTTCTGGACCTCGCAGCTCGCATGACCGAAACCTGCCTTAGAGTCCCTCAGCTGCACATCCCCGTGTGCCTCGTGAGGACTCCTGCAGCAGAACTTCTGAGCCGGACAAGGATGGGATTTACAAGGCAAAGTCAAAACTGAGCTGCATTCAGCGAGATGCCCAACGCTTCTTCCTGGAGTGCTAGCTCGCCTCTGCTGCTGCTCTGGGAGGACTCCTCCGGGACCCGCATCTTTCTCTCGCTGCTCTATGCGGTCTTAGCTATCTCAGGGACTTTATCCAATGTGATGGTCATCTACCTAGTCTTCTCCTTCAAGAAGCTGCAGACGACCAGCAATGCCTTCATCGTGAACGGC